TGGTCGGCCGATTTATCGGTCGGAATGGGGTATGGGAGGCCAAGCTTCGCGGCTAGATCCTGACACAACGCTTCAGCCGATTCCTTTGCTAGATTCTCGAACACGCGAGAGTCTTCGGCCTGTTTGAACACCCGCTCAACACTGGCAGAGTTCTCGACGACCAAACTCGTTGACTTATCGATCCTATCGACTCTGGTACGAAGGTGGTTGAGTTCGCTTTCCTGTCGGGACTGAGTCTCGTGTAGTGTTTTCACTTCTTGCTCTAACTGGTCTACTTTGTGTTTCGTGCTGGCCCCAACAGGGGCTGCAGGGCGTCTAGCTGCCATGTGTGGCAGCGTTTTCAACGCACAGATCCTGTGAGCCACGCAATGGCGGGTGCCTATGGGCCTCTCTGAACCGAAACGGGATGTGGGGATGCAACCCTAGACCCGGTGCCCAGAGGGCGATTTGGTGGCAACAAAACCACCTATCCCGCTGATGGCCCCTCTTCCCCCTGGGAGCTCATGGCGTCCCAGCGTGCTAACTCAGGACGTGCCTGGTTGGGGAACCGAGACGTGCAAGGTACCCCACCTCGGAAGAGGAGGCAACAGCGGAGCGAACTAGTTCAGCCTCCACTATACCACCTATAGAGGAGTTATTGGCATCGGCTCTCATGGTTTTTTCGGGCTTGGACACTGCCTAGCACACTACCACAGAACTGACAGCGACGGTTTGCGTCACCCGGTCCCCTACATGTCTGCTCGTGGCGAGGAAGATTTTGCGCGGTCATACGACTGCCACAGATGGAGCACGGCTGCAGTACGTTCGGACGTGGTGTACCCTTTGGGCGAGGTCGAACTGGGCAAACATGGAGTCGTCGCCGTTTTTCAACTCGCCAATATTGGCCGCGTGCCTCGCACCCATACACTTCAACTGTGAGTTTGTCCGGATCCGCGCAAGCGTGTTGATCAACATAATGGGCGACGAGGGTATTGCTTTTTGCAAACCCCTGTGGGCACTGGGGGCACTGAAACATGCCTGCGCGTGCATCTCGGGTCAGGCAGCGGTAGCGTGGTCGTTTGTCTCGACGAAAACGGTCAGGTACTTTGATGTTCTGGTGTTTTGCTACAGTGTTATGTACATTAAGAAGGTTAGGTAAATGATTACTAACTAGTTATAAAATTTTAGTAAGTAGTTAGTACCTCCAAAATCATCACTTTGAAAAGCTTTTTTTTTAGTGTTGTGCTTCATCAAAAAACCATTTGGCTTCAATTATTTTCTAGAAAATCATCTTCCAATTGAAAAAAATTGAGAAGAACAAATTTAAAATTATGTTGTTTCTAACACCAAATTTTTTTATAACCAAAGGGTAAAAAAACAACCACAAAAGGCAGCAACGCTTAAAACAATCTTTTGGAAAACTATGCGTTCATGGGCCTATAGAGGCCAATCTTTGGGCCTGTAGAGGCCAATCTTTGGGCCTGTAGAGGCCGAAACATGGGCCTATATAGGCCTAAAAGACAGGCCTGTAGAGGCCAAAGTCATGCCTGCAATGGCCAAAGACACAGTTTTTTTCACTTGTGAAGCAGAGGAGCAGGTTTAAGGCAAGTCACCCTGCCATTCTTTCCAAAGCTGTGCACCACTGGCTGCAAGACATCTTGAAGTGGTAGCAACTGCTTTTGGTCACAAGTTTCCCACACAGTGGCTGTCTTGGTCTTCTGCTCCGCAAATTTGAACTCATTCAGGAGCACACATGGTACATCAAGCACCAACAGAAAATGCAATGCTTTGCCGCATCTCAAGCCATTGCTTGCTGCATCTGTGAAGAATACCACATCTCCACATGTACAAGTGGAGCCTGATGACAACTTGCAGCTTGTTGCTGATTGCACACTCTGAAATTGCAGCCCTTCTGCCTTCAACTTCTGGTGCAAAGATTTGGGATCATCTCGAGGGCACAGCAAATGACAAGTGTCATCAAACAACTCTGCATCTTGAAGGTTATGAAGATGTTCCATAGTGCAAGCCACCAAGAGACCCTGGTCATAGGTCTTCAAGTTACAATGCACAGACCCATATTTCCTTGCTGTCTTGTGTTTCCTCTCACAGGACCAGCATGAAGGCAGCTGACCCCAGCGCTTCAAGTCAAAGAAGTGAAGGGTCCAATGATGTTTAGGCTTTGTGTAGTCTGCAAAGCCAGCCAAAGTGTGACACTCCAATGCACTCTCAACAAGGCCCAACAAAGTCTTGGGGCAAGGGCTGTCCAAAGAGGGTATGCTCTGTAGATAGTCCAAGAGCTGACACCATGCACTGAAGGATCTACACTCCTTGACCATGCAACTGTTGCTCATGTACATCACCTCCAGAAAGTACTGAAGAGGCTTGTGCAGAGTCAACATCTCTGAGGCATTGCGCTTGAAGCCCTTATCCTTTCTGTACTTGGCCACCTTTTGTGCATCAAAGAGCTTGACAATGTCAAAGCTTTGCTGGTGCTTTGGAAGCACCCATAAAGACAACCATTGGCCCAACAAGCCCCATGCATTGTATCCAGCATTGAAAAGAGCCTCCAAGACCAGATAAACTGCACCAACCATGATGCCATTTGAGCACATTGTGTGCATATAGTCATGGCAATACAAGCTGGCAGGGAGCAATAAACCATGCCTCTGCAAAGTGCTGCTTGACAGAAGGCCATGTGGACTGTAAGATACCCCTGTGGCCTGCGCTGCCACTGGTTGAATTCTAGGCTTGAAAGCACATGAAATCTCTCAGCCATTCTGTTCCAAGAATCAACAATGTCTGCATCGCTTGAGAGCTTCAGCTGGCTGTGCTTGCAAAACTTAGACAATATCTTTTCCTCAGTTTCATCACTACCACCTTTGAGGTGGAAAATGTTTGCACAATGCATGCAGGGCTTGGACCCTACATCTTGTCGACACATCCAAACAGCTTTGTGCGCAGCTCCATCTTGAAGAACCATTGGCAATGTAAAGAATAACCGCATGTTGCCTTTGTCATTGGACAAAAGAACTCCTGTCTGTGGAGTGCCTGAAGAAAAGAGTTCCTCCATCAGCAGTCTGAAGATCTGAGACATTCCAGCTGACACCTTGGAAGCTTGCACTGTCCTGATTATACTCAATGTGAACCAGAAGTCTTCTTTGCTAAGCATGGTTGTAAACTCAAGAAAGCTCACATAGCAGCACCAGGCCTTGCGACCAGAACTATTCAGAATGTTCCCTGGGTGAACTTCATCACAGTATACACAGAGTCGCCAGGGCACTGCAGGTAAGCTTATACAAGGTATGTTTTGATTGAAAACATGATCGCGCAAAAACAGTTAAGCCATTACAGGCTCAAAAGAAATAGTCTAACCTCTCCAGGTTGCAAGCTTATACAAGCTATGTTTTGATTGAAAGCATGATCGCGCAGGCTCAAGCAGTGAAGTGTGCTATCATTTCATTATATGTAGTTCAGTTCAGAATTCTGAATTGAAAATCAAAGATCTGGGGTTTGAATTCAGAATTCTGAATTGAAAATCAAAGATTTGGGGTTTGAATTCAGAATTCTGAATTGAAAATCAAAGATTTGGGATTTGAATTCAGAATTCTGAATTGAAAATCAAAGATTTGGGATTTGAATTCAGAATTCTGAATTGAAAATAATAGAATTGACATTTTAGTTCACAATCTTACAATTAGATAATATAAATATTTTCAACCACAACACTTAAGAAATCTATATTTTGATAGACTTAGATAGTTCAGCCATACAAAAAATGAGAGGGGCTCATCTTGTTCAGCGCGTCCTGCTTTACCAACTGAGGAAGTGGTTTGCTATACTCCTTCAGCTTGGTCAGTTCCTTGTGGAGTATCTCACAGGCCTCTTCTGGCCCACACAGAGGTTGATGCACCAGCAAGGCATGTGTAGATGTCAAATCCTTCAATGTCCAAACCTTGCTCTCAGCCTTGAAAGTGTAGTTCTTGCCAATCTTGATGTGCTTGTGAGATTGAAGTGCAATCGCCTTGCTGTCTGAAGCTTCTTTCAAGCTCCTCACAGCCACAACAGAGTCTCCTTCTCCTGTAGGTTCTGCAGGAGCAGCTGCAGGGGTAGCACTGCTGGGATCTCCACACTTGGCAAACTCCTCCTCAAACTTGTTCTTTATCTCTTCCATACCCTTGTATTCAACACCTTCCCTGCCTTTTGCTTCTTTCTGCAACAGGTGCAAAATAAGTCGAATCTGAAATCTGCCAAATGGCAGGCCTGCTTTCTCAATTCCAAGCTTGGACTCTTCAACAACTTGCCATGCAGCCTGCATCAGATCCTCTGCCATCAGGATCTTCTCACTCATTTTCTTGTTCCTGAGTTTGTCGAAGTCGGCCTTGGTGACCATCTTGGAAAATCCATCTTTGATGCAGCTCTTGGGGGCTGTGATTTGGCAGCAAGCCAAAGCCACTCGAAGCAGTGGAAATGTTGTAGAGGGCTGCTTCCAATCGCAATGGGTCAAAAGCTTGGTGAACTCTTCTCCAAATTGTGTTGACCCACCAAATTGCTTGCCTCAGTTGTGTTGTCAAACGCAAGCCTACAACTTGCAAGGATGAGCCTGCACAAGCTTCCTTGACACACAAGCCTGTAATGGCTGTGTACAAAATGGACACGCTTGCCAGCCTGTATTGGCTCTGCACAAAATGAACAATGGACATGCACCAGCTTACACAGGCTTTGGGTAAGTTTGTATGAATGGAGCTGAAGCTCCCATGAAAGACAAATATTGCAGCCAACAAATTCTCCAATGCTTCTAATGTAGTCCTTGCGTAGGGGCATACTTGCAGAAACTTCTGCAATGGCTTTGCCCAAGTCTTTATGGCCTTCAGGCTGCATGGAGTAAGTGCGAGCAATGGTCATCATGACTTCAAGCTCTGTAGGTGCCCTTGCAATTGCATGATCACCTCTTTGCTCAGGCATTCTGGTGGGTCACATCAAAAGGACTATGGTGCACCACCATGGTTGGAGGTAATAAAAGGTTATTGTCTGTTGAAGGCTTGGGTCAAGAGGCTAGCCAAATGTAGCACTTCCTCATCCACCTTTGAAGCTATCACAGTCCAATCCCAGCCCTGGGACAGCATGCGTTCAAGATCATCCTGCTTGCAAACCAGTTACTCCAAAGGCACCATCTCATCCATCACCTTGCCACTTTCCAAGCTCTTGAGGAAGCATGTGGTGTGGGACGCACACAAGGTGCTGTATTTCTCCGTGCCAGTTGGCCTTGCAATGATTCCATTGCTTTGCTGGGCCAGTTGGGCATTGGCATCAACTATGGCCTGCCTCTTACATCCATCTGCAGGAAGCTCTATTGCCACTGCTTGCTTTATCTTTGCCAGGTCCCAGCCAACCTGGCAGGTGGCCTGTCCTTTCTGCATCACATCGAAGGGGTTGACAAGAGCTCCTGCTCTATTGCTGACATGTACCAACATCTGACTGGGTCTCGCCTTCACTGTGTGCGCCAACCCATGCTCCTTCAGCAAGCCAAGTGCCTGAGCAGCTTTGGCATTTATAGGTTCCTGTGAACCTATCACATTCTCCAGCTTCTTGACCCATGGGGCAGCCATGCTTGGAAAACTGTGGTTGTCAACCAACATATCACACGTCCAACTCATTGCATGTCCAATTGAAGAACCACGCAAAGCTTCTTTGCAAGTGGGCATGTTTTTGGCACCATGGTCATTTGGAGCCTTCAAAGCCTTAAAGCAGCAGAATATAAACATGTGCAAACATTGCACATTTTATGGTTTGAGAAAGCCTGTATTGGGTGGCCAAAGCAATGACAGCCTGTATTGGCCATTGCTGAGACAGCCTTCATGGGCCAGCCCAAGGGATGACAGCCTGTATTGGCCAGTGGGTTGACAGTTTGCATCAAAAGAAATTTTTCAAACATTTCAACACTGTGCCAAAAATTTGCTTGGAGGTTTGGTTAAAATTTTTGCTTTGCAACCAAAAAATGTATGCTAATTATTTGTGAATTTTTCACAATTTGGATCAATATTTAAGTGCGTTATCCATTTTAACATAAAAGTTAAAAACATTTACATAAACATCTTAAAACAAACAAAAACTATACATGAATTACAAGCTCTATAACTAGTTATAACTAGTTATAACTGCTTTATAAGTACTTGTTTGGCTGTTACTAAGCAGTAAGCATTTGCTGTAACAGATGTAAGTGTCTAGCAAAACACCAGAACATCAAAGTACTGGGGGTGGAGGCCCGTCGCGAGGGTTCCAACTGTTCATCAATGTTTCCTATGGACCGTGGTGACAGGGAGCGTCGCTAATACGACCTGGCGCCACGCGTCGCGGTCCTGTGCTAAGCGAAACCAGTCAAGTTCGGTAACCTGGATCTGAGCGAGCAGGTACTGGAACCACTGCTGCTGTCGGTACCTAGGGCGGGGCTGCGTCATATGTCCGGTCCACCATCCAAACAATGCCTGTTTAGGCAGACGGTGGCAACCCATGCGAGCAACATGCCCAAGCCAGAACAGCGATTGGCGAGCTAGGGTAAATTCGATGGGCTCCCACTGGGCCAGCGTGCACAATTGCATGCTATTGACATGGTTTTGGTGTAACCAGGGTCGATTGACCTGGAAACACTGGCGAACTGCACGAAAGACGACCCGCTGGAGCATCATGATGTGTTCGCGATTCCAGACTCGAGATCGACCGAAGCAAGTCAACGATGGCATGAGGACACTTTTCATGACCTTGATCCAGATGGAGTAGGGCATTTTGCGTTGCTGAGACCTAGTACCGAAGTGCCAGGATCGGGCAAGTTGATGCAGCTTCACTGACGCGGAAATGCGTTGGGTAGTGTCCCGTCGCTGACTCCCCTGTTCCTCTAATATGCCACCAACATGTCGAACCCAAGCTTGTTCCCCCTTATGTCGGACATCGGTAGGCTGTCGGGGCGTGCCAGGGATACGTAACCCTTCAGTTTTGCCTGGATGCACCTTCTCCCGCCAATCTCGCATGGTCACTTCCAGCAGCGGTTCTGCGAGGTGTACCTCCTCTGCTTCGCCGATCAAGGTCGTGTCGTCTGCGAAACCGATATCGCCGATACACACCTGCCGGGTTTTCCGGGAGAGATGTTCTCGACTATGGCTGTTATGTCCGACCCGCCCATCACACTTGACCGTCCACTGCACACCTGGCGTGAGATCGTTGGCCTGTGCCAAGGCTGCGCGCCAAGCGCGAAAGTCCGCCATGACTGCCGCATGGTAGCAGTTGAACAACGGAGGGGAGCTAGGACATCCCCCTCGCAACCCTTTGTCCGCTGAATACAGTGACGATGTGCCTCCATGGATTCGAACCCTGTAGTTGGTGCCCTCATGCAGCGCCTGACAAATGCTGACGAAACGGAGTGGTGCTCCCTTGTGTTGCAGAAGGCGCCACAAGGTCGCGAGATACTCGAGGGTACGCCTTTTCAATGTCCAGGAGTCGGAGCAGCATAGTGTCGGCAGACATCTGGCTGGCGGTGGCCTCTTCGACCAAACGTCGAGTCACTTGTAGGGCATCGTCCACTGACCGATCGCGCCTAGATCCCATCTGGGCCTCCGGGATCCACGGGTCACTCCAAATCTGCACACGCTGTGCCACGACCCGGGCTAGCAGTTTGGACCCAATGCTCAAGAGGGTATAATCCCACGCCACGTAGATTTGTCAGTTTTGTCACCTTTCTTTTTCCAGAGAGGGACGACTAAACCCTCAGTCCAGCTGGATGGCCAATCTTGCGCCTCCTCCCCTGCTGCGGCATATCGGGCTGCTTGCCACATCTGGCGGACAATGGCATTGATGCGAAGTTGGAGGTCAGGGCTGCCATACTTATAGAATTCGGGCAAGAATCCGTCGACGCCGGCCGCTTTGCCGTTTTTCATGTTGAGTCCACAGCCTCGAATTTCAGCATCGGTAGGGGGGTCTTCCAGCCAGTGTGCCACCTCTGCGATGGGATCCACGTGGGCCCATACCGCTTCATCTGCTATCTCGCGACCTGCTTGCAGGCGTCGAAAATGGTCCTTCCATTCCTCCCGGGCAGTGATGGGGTCCGCCACGGAGGTGTGGGTAATTTTCGCCCGTGTGAGCTCATGTCGAATGCCCAGCTTGCGCATAAGTCCATACACTTTTCGGGTATCCCCCTGGGCGTTGGCTTGTTCTAGTTCCAAAGTGAGACGATCTATCCACTCTCTCTTCCAGCGGAGTCTGGTCTGTTTGCGCTGTTTGCTAAGAGTTCTACACGCGCGAGTTGCAGCGAGGTATGCATCCTGTCGCTCCTGGGTGCGCGGGAGAACATCTTGATAGAACGTGCGTTTGTGCGCCAGGGCCGCTGCCACGTCGGCGTCGAGTCGGGCATTGGTCTGCTCATGGCCTTGCATGTGTGGCTGGTGGTGGTGGTCACAGGGTTTGCGGCCTAAGACTGCCGTGCTAGTTTCCAGACAGATAGTCGTGAGCTGCTCCCAAGTGAGGGGGCCGTGGGTGTGTTCCTGGGCTGCAATGCTAGCGTTGAGAAGGTCATGCCATCTCTGGCGGAGCTGGCGCGAGGTCGGTCCTGGGATTGCCAGTCGTTCAACTTGCGGCTGAGGGTGTGGGACGCTGTGGGTAGATGGTGTGGCTGGCGTCGTGGAGAAAGGCCAGAAATGCAACGAGAGTTCAATGGGTAGGTGATCTGTGAAGTCATCCCAGTAGAGCCGGTCAGCCGGGTCTCGGCGATCCGTCTGCCTAAAGGTTCCCCTGCGTTCCCTCGGCGGCCTTCATGCACGGTGCGAGCCGAATCGATGAACCTGCGCGAGTGTCCCTTAACCAGGAAGTGATCGAGCCCGTGGCCGGTTCGGCGGGCCGGATGCCACCAAGTGTAGCGTTTGCGAAGTGGTTGGGAGAAAAAGGTGTCGGCCACCAAAAAGTCATGTTGGCTACACCAATTTAACAGGTCCCGTCCCTGCGGGCTGGTTCGTGTAGCGCCCCATTGCCCGACGATACGGGGCCACATGAGGTGGGATTGTGAGGCAATATCCGCATTGAAATCACCCCCTACGACCGTGATATCATCGCTCTTGGTAGCACGGAGGGTGGTGGAGAGTTGATCCCAAAAATCCTGCTTAGTAATCCTAACAGGAACCCCACTTTGTGGTGCGTATACGCTCACGATCGACACTCCTTTTGTCATGCCCTGTCGCGGGATCCGTAGCAACAGCGTGCGTTGCTGACGCGATCTGGAAGTATGCTCAATGCATCCACCTTGTCTCCAAGCCTGAGTGAGGCGAGGCCCCAAAGCAATGGCTACTTTTCCCCGAACGACGAGGTGCCAGTGGGTACTCAAGATAGTGAGGTGACGATGACCTTCCACAGGGAACCGAACATCGCTAAAACAGATTGCATCCCATCTGCGGGACATAGCTAACCTGAACAAACTCTGTGTTTTGTGCCATGGGTCATAAGGCACCTACCCCAACTGCGAACATTCCAACTCCCAATCTTCCACCTGGTCAACCGCTTGCCGCGACGGTTATGTGGAACTGTGCGGCTAAAGTACCGTAGAAGTACCCAGTTGCGCTTACTTCGAGCTCTCCACTTCTTACGCAAATTCCAAAGCTTCATGGTTGGAATCGAGCACGGTGGTGACAGGGGCTCCGGGGTGGGATCAAGGGGCGGCGTGCCGCCCCGGAACCGCAAGTACGAGGACCGAGGGTAACTTCGCCCGGCAGCCCACCCAGTGCTGCCCGGCGCGACAACACGAGGACTCACGACGACGATGAACCCCCAAAGGGGAACACTCCAGACCCAGATCACGCGGAGTCAGTAACCCGACCAAAATTAGTGTTGCCGCCAGTGAGACGGTGGCACTCGTCCCTTCGAAAACTTGGCGAGAACACAGGTTGAACCGTCCCTGAAGGAGCTGGGGACACCCTCTGGGGGTAGAGTTCGTCACGCCCAAAGCACTGTAAGCCAAACAACGGTCGAACATCCGGTCATGCGACGGCCAAGAGACTTAAAGTGCAGGCGAGTCCCTTCCCTCGCCCGCGCGGAGGACTCCAGACTATTTAGTTACCTAATTGTGTTATATCATGTTCTGCTAGTGACGACACGTTCAGTTCAGACGAGTCGCTCAGGAGTAATATAACCCATGGTGGCCAACATGGAGATTCTTCCGTGCTTCAACTCAGTCTGACGACGTCGCTTGAAGTCCTCAACGCTGCCATCCGCTGTGAATCCAGCAGGATCCCAAAACCTCATAAGGAAAGGGGAAGGGCTTGCGAGCTGTGAAAGGCAGGAGATTTGGTACAACATGATATGTATTCCTGCCTTAAGATCAATTTGGGTTTATATCAACCGTGGTTTGAGTTGAATAGTGCTTCTGTGAAATTCACAGTTCGCAACAAGCCTTTCTTTTAGAAAGTGGCCGTGCCACAAAAGAATTGAATACACCATGCTTTATTGAAAGAACTGTGTTTTGACTCGAAGGGTACACCGGATCTTCGAGGTATCAAACATCGACACAAGAAATGCTTGAAACTCACCCAAGCAACCCTACAGGCGCTTGCACTCCAAGCTCATTCTCAAAGGCACTGAGTGCGACCAGCTGTGTCTTGACACCAAACGCCTTCCGACCACTAGCGGTCAAGGCTGCGACTGCGACACCGGCCATGGCGAGAGAGGCTGTCTGGCTCGGTGCAGCCTGGACATAGATCTCAGACCGAGAAAGAACCGTTGTAAACGCACAGTTCTGAGAAGGGTCTGTTGCATGTTAAAGAGTATACACTAGAGTAGCTTTCTGAAAACCTGTTTTTGCAAACATAGATAGATAGATAGATAGATAGATAGATAGCTCGGTTGGTCGGTTGATTGATTCATGGATGTTTAATTGATTGATTGATTGGTTGATTGATTGATTGATTGATTGGTTGGTTGATTGATTGATTGGTTGGTTGATTGATTGATTGATTGATTGACTAATTGATTGATTGATATACTTATATAAGTTATGTATGTATATATATATATACACGTCCCAAACAAATCTACAGTACTTTGATGGAGGTCTTGCTCATAACACTTGCATCACGCTGTGGAGGATCTATGCTGGCAACATCTACACTTGTATTGGTGCTTTTGAACATCACTCCACAAGGTTCGGTATGTGACGATGGTTCTGATGGTATGCACCATGTCCCTACGTTCACTATATATGTATATATGATTACAGTACATATGTCTATGCATGTTGTCCCACCCTGCCTGGCTGGGGGTGGATGCTGTAGATGTTGCAATAGTGGCTCGAAGGTTGCTTGTTTGAGGCGCGGAAACAAAGCTGGCACTGCCCACGAGTGCAGCGGCGCCTGCAGCAGCAGCAATAGTTGTCCTGGAAGTCGACGCCATTCCTTCGAAAAAAGTGTTGGAAAACCTTTGGCCAAAAATGAGAGCAGCTTTTGCTCGCACAGCCAGGGTGTCTTAAAAGGGCCTGAGCCTAAACAGCGTGCACATGCATACGTACAGCACACAGCACAATGTATCGGGCTGCATGCAGCCAGAGATGCCAAATGCAGTCCAAACAGCGTGGTGTGTAAAGACAACCCCATCTTTCGGGTTAGGTCCTGAAGTCGCTCAGAACGAATGCTTGATATACAGTATACGATTGGATCAAACTGAGCTGTGCTGAGACAAAATGAAGGGCAAACAATACAAACTATAGCTTGAAACGCCATTGTATTACAGTGGTGTAACTTCCAGGCACAGTACTTTCCAAGCCGCCTTGGTAAGTTGCAGGCAGTCGAAGAGAGGGCTCAAGTCCTGCACTGCCCCTCCTTCTCCACCACAATTTGAAAGGCAACTTGATAACTTGTTGATCCTGCTGATAGCGCTTCATTGTAGTTTTTCATGCTTCCCCTTCACTTGTCCTTTCTTTTGAACTTGAGACGGCTCTTTTCTCCGTCCTCCCTTTCCTCCCGTCACCGTTTGGCCCACGAACCTTCTTGACATGTGCTTGACATGTGTGTTTTCTTCAAGGGTTTTCTACCCCGCTGGTCGCCACACCAGCTCCAGGTGCGCGCACATGCTCCTCAATCTGGTTGAAATTCAGGTTCACCTGCCAGGCTCAAAAAATAGAAACCATGCACTTTCCATTACTGTTCTACCTGTCTGGCAGTCACAATCCAGAAGCCACCTGCCCCCAGATTCAGATAGAGTGGACTCCAACCAGCCTCACTCAGGCTCACCAAAGCGCTCAATGGCTGAAGATCTCGTAGCTGGTTGTGAGACAGTGACAGAACCTGCGCTACAGCAGCTTTGGAACCAATGAAAGCTCCAAGGATAATTGTACTGTCTTGCCGAATGAATCTTGGATTTACAACCGCGATGGCGCCTCCAAGCCCTGTAGCCGGTTCAAATCCACACTGCCTTGCGCGGTGAGGCTCTGGAGCCGCTGAAAGCGGAAGACCAAATGCCGCACGTCCTCCACCTAAGCTGCCAACGCATAACGCTGGAATCCAGTAGCTGCTATGTACAGGCTGAGGGCATCTGGAAACATCTGGTTTCAAACCAAACATTGCTCCAAGACTGTCTTTGGCCTATTACAGTTAGTGCATTCGTGGTGTTGAATATCACGCACAGGCCATTAAACTCACAATACATAAATCTCCGATGTTTTGGTGGCTTGAGGGACAAATCCGTTTGGTGGTTCATTGGCATATGTGTCGTGCTTTATCAATCTGACTTCAGTTCTCAGCCTGGGCTGTCAAGGCACTTCAATCCAAACTCTCTCCACAAGCAATGTCCAGGTCTATCAAAGGATATGTATGCCTTACGTAATTGCTATATATATATATACACATTATACATATGCAACAAAGTAAAATATGATTGCAAACAATTCCACGCACACACACATATACCTTGTTCATAGCTCCAGCTCCAGCCAGTTCTCTCCTCCCATAGGCTTCCCACGCAATCTTCGCCTTTCACGATCACAAAACATACCACACACATTCGCTCGCCGTAAAAAGAGTCGTCAACCTACAGTGACCTCACGTTGTGCAAACAGATTCTTTCACTGATCCCTGGCCCAGCTCCACTAGGTGAGAAACCGACAAATTACTCCGCCAGCCCTCTCCTGACACCACTAGCACAGTGTTCTCCGAGAGCACTGCAGGGCCTCACGATGCACGCTTCGAGTCTAAACGACTCAGAGCGCCGGTTGCGGCTTGACCACTTTGCTGCGGCCGAACCATGGCTCTATGGATTTCACAAACATCTTGTGTTATTAACTGGCAGCCACCTTCTTACTTATCGTTTTCCCTCGCGTCACTGTTGTCTTGCTTTTGAAAGCCTCCTGTGGCAGGACGGCTGGCTCTGAAATCCTCGCGGCACTTAACAACGCACTGGAAAGGACTGGTGCGGCTAGTGATTAGTGTCACAAAGCATGATCTGCACATCAGGTATTCTGTTTGCATTTGCCCATCAGTCCTCGCTTGACTGCCAAGAACTTGCAACCAACTCCTCAGCAAATGTTGGCATTACAATTCACTTCCAAAGTAGATTCCCTTGATTCTAGGGCTGTGGGAGAAGTCCGCAAGAATGTGGCATTCTGGCTTAGCATGCCTTTCTTCTTTTCTTCAGGCAAGAACGCATTGACATCATTCCTGTGGATCATGTGATGCCGTTCCATCTTTGCGGATAAGCAACACAAACATAAACATGCTGAAATGCCAGCGAATGCACATCAGCAAGAACTCCGTCTTCGCAAAGCTCTAATAACATCCGCACCCAGTCTAAGCACAGGTGCGTCAACGAGGACTCCATCCTTGTGCAAACACAAAATCTAGACAACCGCACTGAATTAAAAATCTAAAAGCACATGAGCTGGTCTGGTTGTCGTAAAATCAAACAGTGTCTGATGGCTCACTGGACTCGGAGGGCTTGGTCTGGGGGTACTTTTTGACTGGACTGTGGTAGGTCTCACCATGCGTGTGCTGATCAACACCTTCAACCTCTTGCTCCTCAGGGATTCGCAACTTCATCACCACTTTCAGTGCCACCACGATGATGGCTGTTCCAATCGCTGAGAAGGCCACACCTGCCATGGCTCCAGCAATCTGCTTGCCCAACAGCTCAAAGCTCCCCGTGTAGATCAAGCCACCATCCAAAGCAAAAATGCCAGTAAAAATCGCCCCTCCGATGCCACCCATACCATGCAAGCCGAAGGCATCCAAAGTGTCATCCACCAAGTTCGCCCGGTTCACCAACTCCACGGAGGCATAGCACCAAACAGCACCCAAGGCACCAATGGCAATGCTCCAGCCAGGAGTCACGAAGCCAGCTCCAGGGGTGATGCACACAAGTCCTGCCACTGCTCCTACAGAGGCACCGACGCTAGAGGATTTACCCTTCAGGAGGCGTTCCAGCAACAACCAACTCAGCATGGACGAAGCAGCGGCAACAAAGGTGGTGGCCACTGCACGTGCTGCCACACCATCACTCACTGACAAAGCCGATCCACCATTGAAACCCAGCCAGCCGAACCAAAGGAGGCTGCCACCCAAGATCACAAAGGGTGCATTGGCAGGCCCCAGTTCCTTTTCCACATGCCTTCGAGGTCCGACAATGGCACCTGCAACAAGGCCTGACACACCAGAGCTGATGTGGACGACAGTGCCACCTGCAAAGTCGAGAGCGCCTTGGTGTTTTCTTCGAAGAATTACCAGAACTCATGATTTCAAGTGATTCCAATCGGTTCGTTTCAGAAAAACACGTATATTTATTTTTGAGTTGAGTTTGGTTTGTTTCGGTATGTTTCGGTGTCGGTTTTGTTCGATTCACGAATTCGTTCACTTCTATTCTATGTTCCACACCGAATGGACTCGACAAATGCGACAAAAAACAAAACCGCCCAGCATATCACCCACTTTCTGGGTTCACACGGCGACGTTCTGAATCGAAACTGAAGCGGAAGTGTTTGATTCCGCCCAAGCAACCCACTCATGTTCTGCGACCGGGGGTTTTGGCCAAAATCACCAATTCCCCAGCCGAATTGGGGTTGACGTATCTTGACCTCTGTTTCTGTAATACCTTGCAAGGTTCCCGCCAGGATCCCACGGATCCACCACCACCACCACCACCACCACCAACAACAACAACAACAAAATGTTGTTGTTTCTTTACACGTTCCTTTTATATATGTATGTTCTCACGTTCAACCACGTTTCACTGCAGAATCCTACGGGTGTCGTTGGTGCATCGTTGAATGAAGGTTTCTGAAAGCAACCACAACCACAACCCCAAGGGCAAGAACGACGACAACGACAACGACCGCGACAGCAGCAACATGCAGCAACAAAAGCACCAGCAGCAGCAGCAGCAGCAGCAGCCAAAAGTTGCCACAACAACAACAACAACAACAACAACAACTGGTAGTGTCGTGCAACATCAATGGCGCGCAACAGTGACAGGCCATCTTCACAACATCAAGTGCAAACCAAATGGCAACGGTTATAGCAAGTCCCCAGATGTACACGTACTAAACATTGTTTGTGCACATATGCGCATATATTGCATACATTGATAAAATATTGCGATAGCATCAACTGCAAAATACCACTCAATATGGTGTCTCGGAGGCAGCTTGGTCAGGTCCATAAGCCAAAACCACACAATTACAATGCTTTGATTCACTCCGGAACGATTTATTTCATTCCAAGCTCTCAGTAGAAGCAAGAACAACCCGGCGGATGGCTTTCAGCGCGTGAGTTTTGACCATGGTCACTCTGAAACACAGAATCTCGTACTTCCCATAGTCATGCATGTTTTTCTGCTTTTGGCTGCAAAGCTGGCTCTCTGCCCCTGCAGGGACGCTTTAATGTATTTTTCGCTGGTATTTGCGCGCAGCGCAAGATGGGTCAAAAAACATTGTAATTTTCGAAGTTCATTTTCTGATCCCTTTTCTATTTCGCCACAGCGACGTGCCAAACAATTCGGTAAGCAACCCTTTTTTACTCTCAGGCGTCCGCCGTTCTACGGGTCAAGTTGGAGGAAAGCGTATTTCCCCACCTCCGCTGCCATTGTCGTGCGTGCTGCAGGAGCAGAGGATTTGCGCGCCCATCCTTTTTGGATGCAAGCGCGCTTGGAATGGCAGACTTCATCATCAGATACCGGTAGATCCCCCACACTCTCAAAGCCACCTAAACTCAACAACAGCACAAAGGCTACCCCTACACTAGCAGCCGCTCCAGGGCTGAACGAAGCCATGGTTCTAAAAACTGCGGAACGACAAAAGCCTGACAAGCTGGAGCGCAAACGACCAACACGTCTGTAAAAGTTGCAACGCGTCACACAGCATGAATAAGTGAATCACCTCATACGCACACATTGTGGTCAAAAGCACACGCAGGTGAAAAGTCTATGGCGCCCCGCACCACCCCACCCCACCCCCCCTGAGTACGTGTCGAAGGTCATGGTGTATGTACTGAAAATGAAGACGTCGGACTTATGCACGTTAGCTACAGGCACTTGAGATATTGCGCAGGGTATTGATTAGCGGTTGGCCACTTGCTGACCTAAATACAAAAACTAAGAGACCAGGCAAAAACAAGAAGAGTAAGTTGGAGGCCATCACATCTAGGTTGGAGGCCATCGCATCTAGGTGGGAGGCATGGCTACTGACATAGGTTAGTGGTAAGTACAAAAGACAGCAATTGAAAATCACATCACAGCATATCACAGCCAGATTCAATAGGAAAGGTTGGCCGTCATCACCTTTAGGCGCATACTCAACGCGCAGGCGAGCGCGCATGCCTGATCTTTGATTGACAAGCAAACTCAACACACAAGCGAGTGCGCATGTCTGATCTTGGATTGACAAGCAACCGATACTGTAGGTGGAAGTAGGGGTAGTTCCACATAGTTCCACAGAGTGAGCGAGACAGTTAAATTGCTCTAGGCAAGTTAGACAATAGAGCCATAAAGCCTCCCGTTCTAGGTAAAGCAAACAAAGAATAAACGCAAAGCCTCCTGTTCTAGGGAGCAAAACGGACGAATCACTCCATTAGGCACAGCGAGACATAAGAGTCGCTCTATAGACAGCGGGCGTCCAAAGGCAGGTGCGCATTCAGGCGTCCCTCAATGCTTCCGCCAGTCTTCCGTAGCTTTGTTGGGCAACGTGGGAAGACTGGCCGTTACCCCCTGCTCAAAAAACGAAAGGTTCCCTTTCACTCCAAGTGTTTCACACACACACCGTAGAGGGGCGCCAAAACCTAGAACTAGGGCTCAGACTGAGGTGTTGGCGCGCATGCACAAAAGACAACAAAACGCAGACGTGAGAGGAAGACAAGACAGGACAGTGTATGTGGTTGCGGTGAAAAGGAACAACCAGACGTAGGCCATACCTCATTACAAGAACCTAGGCGACCCCAAACCTGCGTTTTGTGTACGAGCGCACGCGCGCGCTAAGGCCGGACCGAGGTGTGCGCAAAAGAGAGAAAGGAATGAGGTGACAAGACATGAAGACGGACAAGACACGAAAAGAAAGAAAAGAGAGTGTGTGCGGGGGAAGAGGTGAGAGGGGGGGCCGAAAAAGATGAGACCGAACCTCATTGGCGGATAGGAGCGCCTGGCCTAGTTTGTGTACATGCTGCGTGCGCACCTAAAGTGGGGACAGGCCCCAATGGGCCTTGAAGAACTCCGCCCGCCGCGGCCTACTCTGGGCATTGGCAAAGTGGCGGCCTGCTCAAGCTCCATTATAACCGTCAGGTCTTAATCAACGTTTGGCGTAAACCTCCTGCGTCCGGTGGGGACTACTCTGCTCTGTGGCCGGAGAACGAGACAAACCCTTGCTCATGCGGTATTGGTTGGGGCCTGGCCACTAGTAAAAACCTGAAAGACCAGGTAAAAACACGAAGAGTAAGTTGGAGGCACTCGCATCTAGGTTGGAGGAAGTAGGAGTAGTTCCACACAGTGAGCGAGACAAACGAATCGCTCTAGTAAGTTAGACAAAAGAGCCGTAAAGCCTCCTGTTCTAGGAAAGGTAAACAAAAAACATAAAGCCTGGGTTTCACACACACACACACTTAGCCTCATAGCTCAAATGAATGAGCGTTAAGTTCAGGAACTGGCTCACGAACACATTGGCGCTTTACAATACTGCAGCATGTTCAAAAGTGAATGCAGGTACACAAGAAGGTGTCCTTTCTCCCTTCACCGTTTGTGAGTCCGTCTTCGTTGGTCCAGGGACAACTCACAACTGCCTGGACCCCCTGCAGGTGAAAACTCTTAGAAACAGAGGTGGGCACACACAAACAGCCTCGTAGCGGCGCGCCAAAGTTCAATGCGGTAGCTCTAAAGATGAAACAATGCAGTGGACAGCTCGGGCTTTACCTAGGTTGTACACGGACGAATATATTAGTACTTGATTGCCGTAGCTCTTTACTGATGAAACAACGCAGTGGACAGCATTCGTCTTACTTAGGTTGTAGAAGGTAGCTGACACATGCATTAACACTTTACTGCAGGAGCTCTTTAAAGATGAAACAACGCAGTAGACAGCATTGGCTTTACTTAGGTTTTAGAGGTTGCTCACAATGCATTAGCACTGCAAAGAGGAAACAACGCAGTAGACAGCTTTGGCGTTACTAAGGTTCTAAAGGTTACTCACGGATGCATTGGCCCTTTATTGCTGGAGGAAACAACGCAGTAGTCAGCTTTGGCATTACTTAGGTTCTAAAGGTTGCTCACAGATGCTCTTTTTTTTTGCTGGAGAAAAAAACGCAGTAGACAGCATTGGCATTACCTAGGCTTGAAAAGGTGGCTTTTACTCTGCATAGTAGTATGAGCGCTGGTTTGCAATTGCTCGGTGGGGGCCAAGGGGGCCTCATAAGCGACCTAACAAGCCTGAGGAAGAAACAACAAAACAAACAAAAGAAAATGCAGGAGAGAAAGAGGGGGGTGTAATAGACACTCGGTCATAAAGCCGATTCCGGCGCCCTCTAGACGAAAACCCTAGCAACGAACGGAGATCGAGGCATGCAGTGAATTACTCAAGAGTGCGTAACGAAAATCAGTCAGTTAGCAATCACCGTGTACTCGGCAGTATCTGTTCAGCTGTTCCCGGGCAAAGCAAGAGTTCAGGAAGTGGCTCACTCACGGCATGCGTGAGTCGATCAGCAAGTGTCAATGGTGAGTTCGGCGCCGCAATGGGGGATCACACTGCATACCCAAGTGGGAAGACGCAGCTGGTCACACTTAGACTCATTGCTCAAATGAATGAGCGTTAAGTTCAGGAACTGGTTCACGAACACATTAGCGCTTTACAATACTGCAGCATGTTTAAAAATTCATGCAGGTACACAAGAAGGCGCCCTTTCTCGCTTCAACTGCCTGGACCCCCTGCAGGTGAAAACTCTTAGAAACAGAGGTGGGCACACTTTGACAAGTGGTTTTCAGTTACCTCTAGTCCACGAAAAATGGATTAGGGAAACGCAAGGTGAAGCGGTCAGCACATTTGAAATGTTGAACAAATGTTCATGCTGCGTGACTGCGGATTCTAGTTACTGAATATACGTAGCCGATCGAATTATCGCCGTGCATAGAAGCCTTGTTTTGAGATAATATAGCGTGCAGAACCACCATGGAACCAAAAAGGAAGAGTGGAGTCACAGGGTAAACAAAAGTTTTCAGCAGGTACGTGGAAATGGCATCCCATTTCCATATCCTGGGATACATCGCCAGCTTCGTTGACCAGGCGACGATGCATCCTGCCTGGTCCCCTCCCTCTTTTTAATCCCTAAGGGAACTTGAATTACTTTGCAACTTGTGGAAACCTTAGAAACAGGTGGTGACACACTTAGGATAGGGTGTACTGACTTGACAGCGGCGCCACGCGCCGGCCTAGGTAAAACCGCCTAAGGTTCCAGGTAGTAAGTGAGAGGCCTCCGAAACCTATAAACACGAGAACGCACGGCCGCGACAAGGTGACGACGAGTCGTGCAAATCTGTGGAGCTCCAAAGGTCCAAACACTTCAAGGTGAGTCGCCGCTGCATTAGCCGCTTACTGCACAACAAAGAACGAGACAGCTTTTGCCATACTTAGGTTCTCAAAAGCAGGTACACCAGGTTGATCAGACCTGGCTTCCCAGATGCAAGGTAGCTTTGTTAGGCGCAGTCCCTTGCATCTGCTGCGCCCCCCTGCTCTGACATAAAGCTAAAAAGCAAAAAGGCAAACCGAACAAATCCAAAAGGATCCCTATGTTTCCAAGGGTTACACACACACGCCTCCCCGAGGGGAGGCGAGAAACTAAGGTGAGGGCCAATGCGCACGTGTGCGCGCACAAGAGACAAGAAAATGAAGACATGACAAGAGGACGAGACGGGACAAAGGTGCGTGTGGCTGAACTGAAAGGGGAACCAAGTGCACAGGGACAACGGATGAAGCCAATTCATTGTAAAGACCTGGGCGACCTGAAACCTGTGTTTAAATGTATGTAGAAGTGCACGTACACACTAAGGCCGGGACCAATGTGCGCGCAAACGAAGAAAAGGATGAGATGACCAGACATGAAGACAGGAGGACATGAAAGAAAAGAGGAAACAAAAGTGTGTGAAGGGGAAGGGATGAAAGGGGAACCAAATGGAGGGGACGAGAGCCGGTGAAGCCGAACCTCATTAAAACGACCTAGGAAAACCTGCCTCGTTTGAATGTATACGCTGTATGTGCACCCAAGGTCTCGACAGGTTCCAATGAACTTAGAAACTGACTTTGACCGCTATGGTCACCTTGTGCCTTGCCAAAATGGCTGGCTGCTTCGACCGCTGCGGTCACGTAAAGGCATAAGCCAGCTTGGAATTCCTAAAATGAGACAAAATCTGAATTCTCTCGGCCTAGGCCACCTTCGCCCGCTCTGGGCACTTACATCTCCGGGCAGGGGAGATAACGACGTACCCCCGTTCAACGGGCCCACGGGAGGCACTCTGCGGGCTCATCCCGGGTTGGCACGAGACCAAACACACTTAGGATAGGGTGTACTGACTTGACAGCGGTGCCACACGCCGGCCTAGGTAAAACCGCCTAAGGTTCCAGGTAGTAAGTGAGAGGCCTCCGAAACCTATAAACACGAGAACGAACGGCCGCGACAAGGTGACGACGAGTCGTGCAAATCTGTGGAGCTCCAAAGGTCCAAACACTTCAAGGTGAGTCGCCGCTGCATTAGCCGCTTACTGCACAACAAAGAATGAGACAGCTTTTGCCATACTTAGGTTCTCAAAAGCAGGTGCACCAGGTTGATCAGACCTGGCTTCCCAGATGCAAGGTAGCTTTGTTAGGCGCAGTCCCTTGCATCTGCTGCGCCCCCCTGCTCTGACATAAAGCTAAAAAGCAAAAAGGCAAACCGAACAAATCCAAAAGGATCCCTATGATTCCAAGGGTTACACACACACACACGTCATTATATACCCCACCCACCCACCCACCCACCCACCAAAACACCCACTGAACACGTGTCGAATGTTATAGTGCATGTAGCAAACATCATGAACACGTGTCGAATGTCATGGTGTATGTAGCAACATGTGTGATTTGATAAAATGGACACGACTACACGTACGGTTTCCCATCCGTTAGCAAAAATAAGCACTGTGGGGATCTGCTTTCCTCAAAACTGGTTTCGCCACCCTCTGAGCGCCCTGAGGACAGCACCCATCTCCGCAATCCAGCCGCCAGGGCCCCAAACCCAATGGCAGAGCGGAGCATAGATCAGCAAAGACCAAAGTGCCAACATGATGGAATATGCGCTGAAGCGCATTCGTTCCACCAAGGAGCCCGAAATGATCGCGGATGCAATGATGGCAAAGGTCATCTGGAAAGCTGCAAAACAAAGGCCGGGAAGACCAGAGTCACCCCACATCTTCATGTCCAGATTCGTCCAGAAGCTGTACTCAAAGTTGCCCACAAACATCCCAAAGCCAGTGGCGCCGTTGTCCCCAAAGGCCCAAGAGAACCCAAAGACAACCCAAGTAAGGCATACAATGGCCATAGAAGCCACGCTCATCATCATAGTGTTGATTACGTTCGTGTCTCGCACCAAGCCACCATAGAAGAAACCCAGGCCAGCAGTCATCAAGAACACCAAAGCTGCGGAGGTCAAGACCCAAGCAACTGCGCCTGTGTTCACAGCATCTTCAGTGAGGGCGGGATGTGCCATGATTTGCTTGAAGCAGGGGATTGGGGCGAAGATACCTGATCGACAGATCAACCAAACTTGCTTGAACCAAGTGCTTTGTTGATGAGTGGGTAAACAAATCAAGAGCCAAAATGCATGGCTAGTAACTAAAAGAATATGAAAGAAAATGATCAAATTCTGTGGTTCCTAAGGTTTTAGATTTGATCCATTGAATTCTTGGTAGTCTAGGGTCAAGCGACAGTGGCAAGTACATGGCCCAGCAACCCACAGACTTTATGTCTTGTTGATTCCTGCACAGATCGAACCTGACCACGCTATTCAGGCCATGATCCTTCCAGGCAAAGACCAAAACTCACTGGCAGCAGTGTCCTCTATCGCAGCCAACCCTTCTTGGAGTTCATCTCTTACGTCTTCCTGCCCAGAGCATGTTCCAACATGTTCTCAAGAAAAAAACAAATTACAAATGTCTCATCATTGTGTCTGTCATCTTCGTTGGTCTGCCCAAGATACTATCCATTATAATTGGCATGTGTTGGCAAATTGTGTTTATCTGGACACCTATCTGATCACATCGAATGGAAGGAAGGAAAATCACAAATGCGATGCTTATGTATATATATATACACATGAATCCGAAGCCCTTGAAGGGAAAGGTGTGCCTTTTAACATTTCTCACAATGATATCATGGCCTTCTCATCATCCTCGTCTGGGGGGCTCGAGGCCTCATGGCTCATGGCTCATAAAAACTGTTGGGCGAAGTGATGGACCTTCAGACCTGCAGGCGCCCTAGTTGCATCGGACATCTGGACGAAGCAATCCGACATTTTGGAAGGTCCACATGGGTCCAAGTTGCATAGAAAGAACGGAGGAAGGTGAGAAAGGTTTAGAATGGTTTAGGCTTTTACCACGTGGCAGGAATCAAGGTCTCTCCTCCCCCGCCTTCGAGGACCTCCTTTTGAAGTCGCTGAAGGTCCTGGACGGCTTAGCGATTTCGCCTTTCCCAACCCTTCTAAAGTCGCACTGAACCGAACCTGGGTAATCTATTAGTGTTCATTTCAATACAGCAACTCGACTGGGTTCGCGTTTTTGCGGCGGATTCCTGCAAATCCAGTTAAGTACACAACACAAAAAAATACATTGCACAGTAATGATATGTAAGTCTTAACGGGGTGTTCCCACCCTGACCAAAATATATCCTGTAACACTCTGTAACCAAAAGCATGACCTGAGTTCCTCTTCTAGCCCTTTGGCCGTCTCATCCGATCCTCTGAGAGCCCAGTCAAGGGAGATGTCAGCATGCCCATGACATGTGCACCGACCGAATTCAGAGCGGAAAGGTTCCGAGCAACGGTTCATGTGATGGACGTGCTTTCATCTCTGTCTGCATTTGATGGAGGTGGTTTCAACAGATCTTCAGTCCAATAGCAAAGTTCATGTGGTGTAGGAGTTGGTCCATCAACAGTATAGTACATTTGCTGCTGTAGTTGCAAATGCGGGTAGTAGTAATGCAGTAGTTGCAATAGGTACTCATGTGTAGCAGGAAAGGCCACACCTTTCGGATTCAAACGAGTAGTGAATCCTTTACTGTATATGTCTTGTGCCTGTCGGTAACCTTTGATCCCACTGCAGTCGCATGAACGGAATCACTCACACAAATCATTCAGCTACCAAGTGGTACCACTGGTACCTTGCTGTAGCTTATTCTTCCTGTCCTGTCCTATCCTATCCCGCGCTATCCTATTCTATCTATGATCGGTAATCATACCCATGCATATCCTCTATTCACAAGGACATCTGCCATTTCATCTGCGGAGCGACTGGACCTGTTTTGATCCCACTGCGAGAAAGCGGGCATGCCTTGAACACATGTTCGCCTCGCCGGCGCTGAATTACTCCGCTTTGAGTTTCCGGATCCATGTCCTCCTTTGTGAGAACAGGCCAGGTACAATATCAGTGTGGGTCAAGACTGGTACCACAAACCATCATCTAACATCAGCAGTCTCCTGAGCCTCACATCTGCATGAATTTAACCCATACCAACCATCTTCAACTCTTCACAACATCAAGAAGGGCTGGGGAAATTCGGCCGTCTCGAAGCCAGAAAGGAAGCAAGTCTCACTGCAGTCTATCTTTGGCCCCTCAGCCAGTGTCATATCGTTGCCTCATACCGCAAACCCATGCAAGGATCGCGGCAAAGTGTACCCAGACAATTCCAGCAAATCCTGATTCCAACATCAAACAACTCATCCATAAGTGAACGACTGGTCTCTAGTGACTCTAGTGTTGAGTGTTGGGACAGCCTGGCAGGGTTGCCGTCTCACGATTGCAGGTGCACGTCAAGGTGCTCGCCAGGACGGTTGGTTGCAGCTTGGAGCTTGCACACTCCCAAGACGTTCGCCAGCTTTCGCATCCAACCTGCCAAGGTGCAGTTTGTGAACTTCTAAGTCAAACTTGAGGAAATATGCAGAAAGGCCCGATGCACCATCTAAACCCAAGCTGCTTTCTTCAAGCAGCTTTCCTGATAGCTCTCAAGTGGCAAAGCATTTCAACCATCAGTCCGAAATGGGGCGGTTTAAGCCCATCGCACAAATATGTACAAGTGGGATCTAGTTGGTATTGATTGTTCACCATCTCACATCTCCGACATGGAATTGTGCGGATCTGCAGTGAATGAATCATCCCATGGCTGGCTTCTTGCTGCTAGCTTGGGGTTCACCAAAGTCACCTACTGGACCTACTGTTCTAATTTCTTGGTTATGCAAATTGACATCCTTCATTAACATCAAAAAAACAACCAGCCACTAGATGGGCGCAGTTTCCCAGTCGCTCCACGCCTCGGCCGGAGCCTCCCAGGGCTGCAGAAAAATGCGGCCCCGTGAGTCACGAAGCAACTCTCCACAAAGCAAGACCTGGATTCTAGGCAACAGGGAAATGAGATGTGGATGTCGGGACCTGCAAAACATATCAAACGATGACAATCTTGTATAAATAGTTGGGTATGCAACGGTATGTACAAATAGTTCAGTGCCACCTTTGAACATCTGGCAATCATCGATCTCACCACGGCTACAGCGCTTGCACACTCGTGCAACCTAGGACCTAGGACTGTGGGCGACAACCAAAGACATGGCACCTGGGATCCAACCAACAGCACATCTTCTCTGAAGCGAAAACTGCCGGTGGCCAAGTGTGAAACTTCCAGAAACTCTCGCCATGGCCGCGGCAAAGAATTCAATGGCTGGGGTGGTGTCCAGTTGTCCTCCTTGGAACATTGCCACTTGCTATTTACCGCATCGGAAGGTCATAACAACATCAATGTTTACCAATAAAAAAATCAGTTTGATGTCATGAAAACAGCTTGAAACACTGTCAAGCGTTCATTATGCCTTTGAGTCCTTGGACACAAGACATGCCATGTGAATGAGCTAAGTATCCTAGAACCCTTCCAACACTAGAAAATGTGGGGCACTACATCTTAACGGGGCCAGCAGTAGAATCACTCTCAGTCGACTCATGTTGGCTCGGTCAACCCCAGTATGGATATCTCATAACCACATGGAACGTACCTAAATAGCAGGGATATATACGGCAAAACTAAGATCCTCGCCGCTCTTTCCCGGTGGAAGCTGCGTGAATGCCAAGGTTCCAGCGCATCGAGCATAGTCAGATCGGAGCCCGTCACATCGATACGGATGGATGGAGCGCCGACCAACGAAACTTGAAAATCCACAGAGTCAATTGCCTGCGGTAGCAGTGGTACCAGATACTACTTAACAGTTGTAGAAGTTGTAAATGAAGTTGCAAGGAGGTAAAATGGGGCTATGGTTGGATTCATGATGACGCACGCGTATCCACGTCATATACAACAAAACTGAAGCAACCAAGTTGGAACTGGGAGGGGTCACATCGTTGCGATGGCGTGGACTATGCGAGCGGTAGCCAACTTATTTGACCATCGTTCATGATATTGTGACTTTGGGGGACAAGACTTAGGGATGCTATTCTTGTGTGATACACAAGAAAGTATATAACAAAGACAAAACGGCCCGCTTGTTCATAAACGCGCGTCGATGGGAATCTGTTCCCCGATGAGGGACGCTTCAAGCGAGCAAATCTAAAAAGAACTGCCACCGAATTTGCAAGTGGATCTAGCCGTGCCGCGCAACCACAAGAGGTTGCTCCAAAAAACATGGGAGCCAACTTTCCACCCCACCCGCATCAACGCATATCAAATGACATTTTTATATAAATGTTGCCTGTGGTTTCTCGTTTTCTCGGTTTATGGGTTGTACTTCAAAAAAACATATATTGCGAGCTGAACTTTTGACCGCGAAAGGCCTGCAGTATGTATGGTGTCTGTACATGTATGCCATGGAGTGGATCTTCTTTCGCACTCCTCCTTGGCAGTTGAAGCTGAAGTTCTTGTGCTTCTTCTGCCATCTTAAAAGGGAACTGCCTCGCTATCGAGAAACTCCATATGTCTCTCCATGCGGGCATACATCTCCATCTTATTCTCGTGTTCGTTCCTCTGGTTGAGTTCGAACCACCTCTTTTCGAATTGCAATGAGTATTGCTTGGCTCGCAGACAGGACCTGGCTTCTGGTTTGTCATACTCGTTCACCTCACGAAGTTCTGCGTCCGTGAGCCATCTTGTTGTTGGTGCTGTCAAGGTCAAATCCTCAAATTCCAGATCTCTGCTGCTGCCATGTGTTCTCACTGCTGCACTTGGAACTCTTTCTGGTTCTGTGTCCATTGGTGTGGGTCCTTCCTCTTCACTTTCGGGCTCTCTTGGTTCGAGATCTTCTTCTCTCACTGTGATCACCTCGCCTGAGTCCAACCTCACTTGTACTTGACCTTCTCGATCATGTTCCTCTTCTTCACTCTCATGTTCCACTAGGGTGTTGTCTCGTATGTTCAAATGCTGCCGTGTTTGCGCAGCATTCCTCAGAAGGTAACTCTTGATCTGCTTGTCAAGTCTTCTCATGTCGAACTCCTTGTTGGTGTCCTGAAGGTAGTCCCAATGCCTCCAGTCTTCTGCCTCTACATCATTGTCGTCCACATAGCCTGAAGCCTTGATCAGGCCTCTGTGCACCTTTTCCACATACTTTCGTAGTTGAGCTGTGGCCTCTTTAGCCTCATGTCCATAGGCTCCAACCATCATGCCGTCCACTTTCACATCATCAACCACCTGTTGAAGTTTGGTCTCCATTTTCTCAAGCTTCTTCACAAGCTTGTACATGCTGAACGCTAGCGCTGAAATCATCACGCACAAGATCATGATGATCATCCATAGCCACCAGTTGTGATTGGTTGCGGGAATCTTCTCCTCCATCTCAATCCGCTCTCCAGTCACATGCCCAAGGCCTTCCAGCAGTAGAATTCTGTTCAGCAACTTTGCTAGCCTTTGGATTTTGCTTCGGTTCACATTCCTCTCTTCAAGTTGTCGATGTTCCTCTTGACCAAGTAGCTCTCCATCGCTGCTGTAGATTTGGCACCAGTTCAGAATGATGTTCACTCTCGCCTTGGGTAGCGGTTTGGTACCCAAATCCGCCACATTGGCCACTGTGCCTACAGCTTTGACTTCAAGATCTCCTTGAGCCACTGTGTCCTGAATCCACAACAATTTGCCTGCAATGTGCCGAAGCTTTCCAGGACCTTTCCTATGGCACAAATGAAGCGCTGCAGAATTGTCAACCAAACAGTAGTGCTTGACATTCTCCTCCACCAGGAATTCGAGACATCGTCTCAAGTAGATGCCGTCTGCAGCTCCACTCACTAAAGCATTCAACTCCGCTTCAGCTGAGCTAAGGGATACTGACTTTTGTCCTCTGGAACTTGTCAGCAACACTGCTCCATTCAACATGTGTATAGCTGCCGATGTCGATCTGCGATGTCCTTTAGCTCCTGACCAATCACTGTCCGTGAAAGTTTCCAGCAACCATCTTGACGTTGCTGTCCTTGTTGCACGTCCATGCCCTGGTTCTGGATATGGGAGAAGGCTATATTGTCCCATTGTTCCCTTGAGATATCCAACCAACTTCCCGAGTTTCTTCCAGTTGTAGGGCATGACATAAAGGATGCAAGCTCTTTGATCGTAAAGGACACATCCATTCGCTCTTGCGAGAGGTAAATGCCGCACCCCACCAGCGAGCGAAACAAACTGGCCAACTCACCTTTCAGCAATGCTGTACCATCTTGTTCAAGCATCTCAGGACCACAAGGTAGTTTCTGTACTTTAGCCTTGCCCATCTGAGCCTCGTACTGCTCCACCATGCTCTCTGCATATTTGCCCGGTAGGATCTTCAAGCCTTGCATCGTCTGCTCATATGTCCTCCTCAAGAAGGCAAAGGTGGTGCCATTTCCAGCTAGATGCTGTTCTGAGATGTCGAAGCTCTTCTTGATCTCTGGGGAAAAAGCTCTTTCCAGATAGTCCTTGCTCCCTAGGTAAAGCACATCATCAACGTGGATCAAAACCATCATCTGGTTCTCCTTTCTCCCAAGACATGGATTGATATCAGAAAACTGAAATCCTCGACTCTTCAACCAATCAGTAAAATAATCGAACCATGCTTTTGCACCCAATCGTTGACCTGGGAGATTGCGCTTCACCTCATAGTGTCCTCTGGCTGTCTTCACTTGAGTCAGCTCCTCCTGCGGGACTTGCAGGAAAGCATCCTTCACATCCATTGACCCCAGCCAATACTCTTCACCTCCATCCTTCTCTTCAAGCTTCTTCATCAGGTAGATGATCGGGAGTAGGCGCAAGGTCTGACCTCCAGTTGCCGGACTGTGAACATCGTCTCTTCTGTCCACTGCATATTCTCGAGCAACAAGTCTGGATCTCCTGAGGAATTGCTTGGGCGATCCAGGAAGGTCTGGACGTGGTTTGACTCTCCAATCTCTGACAAATCGGGTCGTCAACTTCTTAAAGCCATCTTTCTCACTTTCCATCTTTTCCAACACACCCATCTTCAGAAGTCTTTGTTCTTCCACCTCATCTGCTAGCTCATCAATCCACAACGGTGGATCGGCAGGGATCCTATCCAGAGGTGCTGAGGACCATAGTGCCTCCGGGATGCTCATACTTGTCCCTTCATCTTCTTCTTCATCCCATGCCATGAGCTCCTCCTCACCAAAGAACTGGTCCATGTGATAGTAGACGTCATCTCCAACCTCCGTGGCTTGTACTCGTCTTTCAACGTGAGGTTCTTTCTCTCCTGTCTTCAATCTCTTTGGTTCTGAACTTTCACCTTCACTCTCATGGACTGCTTTGCCTGGAGACAGCTTCATTCTCTTTGGATCTCCTTCTCCACCTTCCATAGTGAAGCCACTCTTCTGCGCTGGACTCCTTGGTGTCGTTGCTGGTGCTGACGGTCCTGCTTGATTGCGTGCTTCATCCACCATATGAGGATCTCGGAAGGTCACCTTGGGTAGAGTCACCTTCTCTTCAGCATAGTCTACCTTCTTGTCTTCGGCCAACTTCTGTTCCTCACTCAACTCTTGAGGGGCATCCACCTGCTTCTCTTCAGCATTCACCAGATCCTTCACCTCCTCCAGCTTCCCGGCATAGGATCTTGAGAAAGCAATGACTTCCCTTGCATCTTCATCATGTGGGCCAGCTCCTCCTGTCGATGGTGCTGGAAGACCGAGCAAGGGACCTCCCACCATAGTCGCTACCCTCTTCGATGGAACGATGCGGCCTCCGAAGTTCTGTTGGTACTCCCATGAGTATGCCGTGAAGCCCTGATAGCATGCAATGTACTTGGTACTCGCATCTGCTACTCGTCGAATCGACTTGCTGAGGAAGACTCTATTGCCATCTCCAATCACCCATGCATCCTGGACTTCTGTTTTGCCCAGGCAGATTCCCACCTTCCACTTCGGATCTGCCTTGAAGCCTTGCTTCTGCTTGGAGTAGGCAAAAACTACCTCTCCAAATGGGCACATCTTCCCATCATAGGCTTTGCCATGGGTGAGCTCAAAGCTTGTAGTTCCTCTCAGAACCTGATACCTATTCAAGGTCCACGCTGCATGTCGGCATGCCCACGACCAAAGGGGATGCTGATGTTGAAACCGAAGTCCAATCCTCTCTGCTAGGCTTTCCATCATCGATGCCGCCAAACCTCTCACTCTCTGAACTGCATTCTCGGCCAATGAATTTCCAGCAGAGTCATACAGCTTCGTAGTTCTCATCGTTGTCTTCAACCCCATACCTGTTCTTGAAGCTACTAGAAGGCGTACGATCTGCCTAGCAGTGGGCTCGTTGTCACAGTAAGGGCAACCCCAACAATGAGCCCGTTTCTGAGCACACGGCCACCATCAGTAATGCCCTCTCATCATTGTGGACACCCTCCTGAGCAGCGTCCTCCTCCTCTGCTCCAAGAGCTCCTGAACCCTTGGCCTTCACTTTGCAGAAGTCGAAAGAAACTGTTGGGCATCCTTGGTCATGAGGCTTGCCAGTCCTTCTATGTTGGTCAGGCCTTGCTCGATGTTTGATGCAGGAGGGACACCATGGTGCGTATGGAACATGTGTGAGCTCATGCGCTTTCCTTTCAGCTTCTGTGGGGACTTTTGCCGTCACCTGCTCCAAGGGAATCCTCTGGTTCATTGCTTGCCCTCTTGCTGCAAGATCTCGCGCCATCATCAACTCCAAAGCTCCCTGGTGAGCCACAAGGCGACTGAAGCACTTTCTCTTGCCACCACTCTGACCAATTTGGTAAAATGCGCATGCTGCTCTCAAACTTCGTAGAGGACTATCAACAGTCAATGGGATCTCATTCACCCGAATTTCTTCTGGAAGGGCCACACCAATCTCATACCGAACCATTTGTTCTTCCAAGTCACGTCCTGGGTCATGACCGTCTTCGCCCCCAGGAATTTCCATGCCCCAAAGCTCTTCCTCCATATCTTCATCTCGAGCTTGCGGAATAGCCAGATCTTCAATTGCCGGCTTGGGACCGAGTTGAATGGCCTCGTTGACCTCAAAGCCAAACTTCTCTGGAACTGTACCATCAGCTGCCACAAAAGTCATCACTTTGCTAAGACCCACTCTCGTAGTTCTTCGATCTCCTCCTCTTGTTCTGCTAGCCCGTCGATGGGCTCTGCCATCTCCACGAGCTCCCACTCACCTTGTCTCTCCACCAAGGTCGTTCTGCACATTCCTTCTCCCTGTTCTCTGAAGCCAGGGATGAACTGCGGACTTTGGAACTTCGTGCCGAGGTGCAAGCCAACCCAACCTTCATCCTTTTTCTTCCATCCATAGCCACTGCCAGCTAGGTTCATCAACTCTTCATTCAACCTGACTGCCAACGTGCGAACCACCATAGGTTCAGTGACAACTCGGACCGAGGCTTCAACCACCAAACTCTGGTTCTGAAACGCTAAAGGCACTTCCAGGTTTCCATTCCGAAGGCATTGTCGTTGTCCATCTATCGACCAGCCCCTTTTCATCAAGCGGCCAAAGGACAGGATGGGTTGATTCACCATGTCGCTGAAGGTCACCTTCTCTTTCAAGACCACAGATTGACCCGCAGATGTCATCAGCATGATGTCAACATCTTTGTGACCATAACTCTGGATCTGCTTGCCCTGAGCATCTTGTAGGTGTAGTGCTGCTCCCAACACTTGATCACCTCCTCTGGTGCTTCCCACGAGCTTTCCTGGAAAGATAGAGGCATCCGCCCCTGAATCCACAATCACCTTCAGCATCTGGGTTTCTTCACCCACTTCATCCACTTCATGGGTTTCCTCCTCTTCGTAGGTCTCGGCAATGGTGTTGACCTTGTAGCTCTCATCTCCATCCTCTTCATCGGAGGCAATGTTGAAAAATTCAACCTGACTCACCGCTCGAATTGAACCAGCTTCACTCCCTTCTCTCAAGTCGAAGATCACTGGCTGTGAAACACGCCTGATGTTCTTGGCGCCCAAACTTGCATCTCCACCTCCTCCACTTGTCGCGCTCGTCGTCAAAGTGGTAGAAGGCGATGTAGTGTGGGGCCCTGCAATGCTTTGTGTTGCTGGAGCTTCAATCTGTCTCACCCTCCAGCAATCTCGTGACAAATGTCCTGGTTTGCCGCAGGTCCAACACACCTCATTGGAACTCTTGCCCTTTCCACCTTTGCTGTCCTTGCCAACTCCTTTGCTCTTGCCATCTTTGCCCATCGGCTTGCCACCTTTTCCTTTTCCCTTCAACCTCTCGTCTTTGCCCTTCGACTTTCCTTTGTTGTCTTTCGTCTTCCCTTTACCCTTCTTCCCATCTCCTTTGATGCGGTCGATCTCCATGGGAATAGGGCCATTGGGATCTGTCGAACTGGTCATTGGGCTCATTCCGGAGAAAGTCAGGGCTCCAGACTCATTCCACTCGGTGGTAGCCGTGTCAAAGGCGATGACAGCCTCCCTGATCTTGTTGTACGAGCTTCCTTCATTCAAAGTCAGATTCAAATGGGTTTTCATCTGACCAGAAATCGCTCTGAGAAGGACTGCCGATTTCATGTCAGGCGACAACTTCCCTCCAAGGCGCTCGTACTGCGCATAGTGTTCCTCGAGTTTGAGGATCTGAGGCAGCAAGGAGTTCTTCATGTTGAAGCTTGGATAGGACATTATCCCTTGCAGGAGGTTCATAGTCCTGTTCCTGGCTTGAGGCTGGCAGTTCATCAGCATCTGTCGAAGCGCTTCCATGCCATTACACTTCTCCACGTTCTTGATCACCCCTGTCAACCTTCCTTGTACAAGACTTCCCAACAAACTATACAGAAATCTGCTTCGTTGCTGTTCACCTTCATCTAACAACTCCCAATCGACCTCTGTTGAAGGATTGAGTTCAAGCTTCTCCAACTCATCTTGGAAGGCAGAATCTACAACAACTAAGTATTGCTTGACCGTCCAATACCAGTCTCTCCATTGCAGAACTTCCTGTTCCCTGTCTGTTGGGTTGAAGGTTCCAGGTCTTGGGATCAGTTTCGCCAGGTCTCGTTTCAAAATCCCTTCTCCTGTTCCACCCCCTGCACTCGTTCCAGCTCCTCCGCTCGCTGCAGCCGCCTGAGCTGCTTGAGCCGCTGCATTTGCTGCAGCCATGACCGCTTGGGCCAAACCAGCCATCTCGGGCTCATCCATGCCACCGCTCCAAGCTCCTTCAGGTAGTCTCAAGCAGCGATTGCGAGATCACTGCCACACTAGTTGCATGGGATGCTCAGCGGGGTCGAGGTGAAAAAGGCCTAGGAGCTCCAGTTGGCAAATGCCAACCTTCCCAGCTCCGCTACCATGCGAGCTGAACTTTTGACCGCGAAAGGCCTGCAGTATGTATGGTGTCTGTACATGTATGCCATGGAGTGGATCTTCTTTCGCATATATATACATATACAAACACCAAATGTGTGCTTGAAGAAATGCAATGTTTAAAATTGCATTTTCCAGTCGTGTGGTTTGTCTTTTTTCCATACGTTTAATATCTTATCACTTATAGACTGAGCTGGGGAACCAATGCTGGCAGTTGAACCAGTGCATCGCATGTCGTGAAGCAGCATCTCAAAAGTTCATGCAAGCATGCTATGCTGCTGCAACGGGACACCATATCTTTCCTGTGTTGATTGCAACAGGGTGATAATTGCTCGCCATGCAAACCATCATCTCTCCACACCCCCCCACCACTCCAACGGAGTCCGAACACAAACAGTTGCGCCCCAAAGTGGCGCGGCGTACGAACCCCTTAAAAGGCGGTATGAATACGCCCCTCCACTGGGCAGAGGCTGTGCTTGCGCGCGCTTACGTACTAACGGAGTCACAAACAAAGACAAAGAGTGAGAGAGTGATGATATGGCTTGACATTTGGCCATGTACAGCCTCGAATGGCACTACTATCTCGTGCCTCAAAGCTGAGAGTCCTCTTCTTCAGAATTTGTTTAGGGAAAACTTTCCCACGACCACATTTAGCTGGTAGATTCATATGATGGCTTATGGTTTCCAGCAAAGAATAACCGTAACCTGAACCTTCACCTTCTTCTGATCCTCACCTTCTTCTGCAGCGGCAGACCGTCCACGTTCCCCACTTCTTCCGCGGCAGCCGAGACGAAAACGCAGCTCCGCTGGCTCAGGGGTGCTCGAAGCAACCCCAGAGGGGGCGGACCACCTGCTCCGGTTCTGGATCGAACACGGGTCCACTCAAATGCAAAAGGCAGTGGATGTTCCAAATAGCAAAAGAGTGGATGTTTCAAACATCTTTTGAGGTCGCACTGCTATGCCCATGGCAAATGGTCATGATATGGCCTTTACAACTGCGAGGTTTGAAATGTTGCAGACATAATTTGTGACGTGGTTTGGAAGAAAGGAGAGCGCCTTTTGCACTAAAAGGTAAAATGGCTTTGTGATGCGACCAAGTGACACCTACTTTTCTGTGATCCCACCCCTTCTCAGAACCTGACGTATTCTGTTCCTGCCACATCGAGTAGACTGCATCCAACAAAGACCGGTCCTAGATCCCCCTGGCCTGGCAAGGGCCCTTCGATTCTCACCAACAGCCGAACTGCTCGGCCGCTGCTGGAAGGACGAGACAAGGCGCAATCGTAGCCCGAAGCCTCTGGGAGAAGCCACGAGAGTTCCTCCTCTTTGCAGACGCCGCAGGCCTCCTGGAAAAGTAATTGGAAGTGTTGCCCAAGGTCCGATGATGAGATTTGCCAACCTGTGTATATATATATATGTTGTGTAGATTCAAGGAGTTGTTTGAGAGACGCTGCTGTAAAATGCTAAAGATGTTCAAAACTGGTGCTGTCCAAACAACAATTGCTCATCTTCACCGTCATCCATCCTTATCCCATCCAACCCCCATCCTGGATGATCTGGATGTATCTCTGCAGCTCATTGCTCTGCGCGCCACTGCTCTTTTCCGGAACCTCACTGCTCGGCCGAGGGATGAACTGCGGAGTGGGCTTTGCCGTGTCCTTATGCTCCTGCCGATGACAACCAGAAAGAATTCAAAATGAGATCAAAAAAGAGTTCGGGGATGATGCCTGGAGACAAAAAGAAATCACTTAGCTAAAGTTGCAACACCTTAGAACTTGAGGAATGATCCCAATGAACAACTTGATAACTTGGGTCTGTGATTGAATTCACAATGGCATGCTACAAATAGCATGCCTTTTGTTTAGTTTACGTGACAAATGCAGGCGCGGCTGCTGCACCACTGGTCAACAGAGTTTCCCTGCAGGTGTGGCAAGCAAAACTGTCTGACAACATCTCTCAAGCATTTGGGGAACACGTTGCTTGCTCTCCACAGGCCTTGCAAAAACCAAAATTTTATTCGCCCTGCCACTTTGCTTCGGATCAAAATTGTATGAGTCCTCCACTTTTTCAGCATCATCTGCCACATCTGCCGCATCTGTCGCTTCTGCAGTCTCTGCTTTAGCAGGAGCAGCCCACCAGCGCCCAAACCAGGCTGCGGCTAGGAAGACCAGCAAAATGAGGACCACGGCCAACCAAAGGCCGGAAGCTGTCAGAAAGAACTGCCTTGATGATATGACTATGGGCCCCAAGGCACAACTAAGGCACAAAGGTTCAAAAACTGGCAACAATCCATACAACCTCGAAAGCAAACCAGAACGTGCACTACCACGATCTACCAGGTATCATAAACGGAATTGTCTCATGAGATGTGTTAAAACTTTGGGTTAGTATCTTCGGATTACTTCTGGACTCATACAACAAAATCGGAGGCGGAGGGGCATTTTGGCTAATGCTCCTCGGCTCTCCGAGATCGTGGCCACCGTCACAGCAGCGGCAGCTGAATTGGCCGATTGGGCGTGGGTCTCTGCATAAATCTCGATGGCATCCTCCTGGGCGAAGGACTTCAGACACATATTCATCGGTCCAAAAATTGTGCAAACCGGCCATCTCTGGCCATTGAAAGCTGGAAAAAATCCGACAAACCCGCTTAGTGGCATCCCCCAAACCAGTGTGCCTGCCACTGGCGCATCTGCCGCGAGCGATCCATGTGAACCTCTCCCACCATCGCAGTTGTGGCACTTGAAGCGCCGTGCACCACGCCCACCTGACTGGTGACCTGACTTCCGTGCTGGAGATGGACAATATTCTAGATGGATATGTATGTACAAAGCGCAAATATATATATATATGTGTATATTTGCGAACTTTTCTTGACAATCAAAGGGCTGCGGTCAGGTCAAGTGTACAAGTTATTTTGTACAGCGCTACTTATGATCTACTTTGATAGTTCTTCACACTCCTTCTCGTTGCTATTTTAGCTCACTCTGCCGCCATAGTCCACCCTACTTCCACTCTTGCTGACTTTGTACCTGAATCTCGTGCTCTATGTAGCAAAAGTCAAGGCTCACTTCAGGAATACTTCCTCTCTTGACTCCATCTGTTCTCTCACGGCGGTCTGGATCAATGCACTCCTTACACCAATTGGCATAATATGGTAGATGCATCAATCTGTGCCTCGCGTGAGTGGTTTCATCTGGCATCTTGGCCACACTTTGTCCTAGTGCTTCTCTTGTCTCGTGAGCTTTTGCTTCACTCGCCAAACTTTTGGCGTTCAAAAGTTCCATTCTCTTGTTGTGGTTCAGGATCTTTGCGTAGACCTTCAACTTAGAGCCGCTACCTGAGAGGTCGAGAAATGAACACGCTGCCCTCAAAGTTGCTAAAGTAGAGCCCTTAGTCAACTCTACTCCATTCACCAAGACTTTGTCTACATCCATTGGGCTCAATTGCAACTCACATTCACATTCGAGGTCTTCTTCTTTCCTGTCTTCGACCTCCTTCTTCTCCGGTGGAGTAAGGGTTCTTTCTCTCCTCTCTATTCTCAAGCTTCTTGTAACCTGGTGCAAAGAACCCCATACCTTCTGGCGGTGTTGGCTCGTAGCCGAAGATTGTCATTGAAGGAATGACTGCGTCGCCATCAAAGAAACGCTCATCAAATTCCTCCTTTTTCATCATATTCTCACAATATTCAAGCAAAAGCCATCTACCTCCCCTTTTCACCAAAGTGGTTCTCACCAGCTCTGGTGAATCTTCCACTTCTGGAATGAATGTGGGATCAACGAATCTTGAAGCCAATAAGCCTCCAACTAGTAGGCCATGCCCATTGAACCACCAACCTGCTGCCTTTCCAAAACTTCAGGTACTCCAAGTCACCATTCTCCAACGTCTGCGCTCGACCGTTGATTCCGCAACCATTCCATCAGCCTTCCACAGCAAAGTATGGGCTGACTCACTTCCATCAATGTATCAATGTCACGCAAGGAGATTCGACACTTTGCGCACTCGTGCCAGGGATACGGTCCCCTGGGCGTCTTATGGTTTGGTAGCTGAATTGAACTCTAGCTCTCCTTCCCCATGATCTGCCATACTCAGAGGGACTAAAGCTACATCAGCTCCACTGTCAATACTGATGGCCACATGCTCCAAGTCTCCCAATGTTGGACTCCTCATTCTCAATCTCCATGAAGTTTTCCTCAATGAGGCTTTCTCCTTCTTCACATGGCTCATCTCATCGTCATCGTCTCCGATGTAGGAATGAATCACTCGAATTCCATGATCTTCTGCCTCATCATGTCCTTCTCGAAGGTCAAAGATGATTGGCTCACTGTTCCTTCTGACCACTGGTTTTGTATCTGCTGAGCTACTCTGCTGACGCACATTGGCTTCGTTGTTGACCAACTGAATGAGTAGTCACTGAAGCTCCTCCTGAAGATGAATGGGCTGTATCACTTGCAACCTGTCGAATATTGTTTCTCGAACAGTCTCGAGCAAGATGTCCTGGCTTCCCACAAGTGTAACAAGCTGCCACACCTTTTCCTTCACCTTCCTTTCCTTTCTGTTGCACTTTTCCTTTCTTTCCTTTGCCTTTAGCATCCTTACCTTTACCCTTTTGATAATCATTCTTGCCTTTCTTGCCCTCTCCTTTGGCATCTTGAACCCGATCAACATTGATAGGCATAGGTCCTTGATCGTCTGTACTGCTACTTGCAACCATTGAAGCCCATTGCAATTCGTTCCCTCAAAGTTGCGTATTGAACATTGCCGCCAATTGTCAAATACAAGAAGGATTTGAGCTGTCCACCTACACATCTCAGAAGAACAGCAGATTTCAACTCTTCTTGAATTGGTGTTCCTGATTTGACCGTCTCCTCAAATACCTCCAAGCTTAAGAAGTTGAGGTTGTAGAGCACTGTTCATCGAAAACGCTGGCCATGTAGTGGCTGCTCCCACGAGCGCTAATCCTCTTGCCTTTGAAGTAGGTTTCAAAGCTTTGTTCAAACTCCTCCACAAGCCCATTGGAGTCCTCCACAGCTTTCACCGATTGTAGTGCCCTGCCCCTCATCAACCAGTTGCCAAGTCCATGTCAAAGCTCTCATTTGGCTTGTCATGAGTCGCTTTCAAGTCCTTCATGTAAGCCATCGACTGATCTCAAATACTTCTCAAGTACCCATGACCACTCTCCAAACGCTTCGATCTCTTCCTCTCGTGACTTGTAGTCAAGTAGATTGGGCTTTGTGATCAACTTTGGCCAATCAGTTGTTGTCGACTTCTTGTCTTTAGCTGCTTTCTTCACTGCCTCAGCTGCTGATGCTGTTGCTTGAGCGCTCTCTGCTACAATTTCTGATCTCCTTAGCAACCTCACAATAATGTCCTTCTGACATAATGTACGGGGTACAGAAGGTACAGAACCCAGCTCACAACAATTTATCACCAGTCCAACTATTTGGGTTCCGAAGGCCGCAAACCGGTGGCTCGAAATCGCTCCCGGGGTCCGAGTGACCTAGGGGCTTTTCTCTGGAGCTCAAAGGGGGTTACCCTTATCCTTGCTCCGCTACCATGTGAATTTTTATTGACAATCAAAGGGCTGCGGTCAGGTCAAATATACAAATTCTTCTGTACAACGCTACTTGTGATCTACCTTGAATTTTTCACAATAATACATATAATCCCCTGTGGAATTACCAGTGCACCTTAAAATTTGATTTGATAGTTATAAAATGAAAGACCGGCGCTCCGAGGGCAGTCTGCCCCACTATAGAATCGAATATCAACCTCCTGCAGTGCTGGAAACCTGTTCTCTAAAGAATCAAGTGCCTCAGGGTATGGGTGTGCATCATGATGCACAGCCACGGTTGGCATTGATTCTATAGAGAAGTGTGGGGACATATGAAGGTTGAAATTGGTTTCGTAAAACAATTGAGAAGTGTGGTTCAAGGGGTTGGTTTTGATTTTATAGGCCTGACCTCACAGCACACCATCCACTCTAAAATCAATTCTCAACCTTCTATTATTCAAAAAGCTTTCAGTACTATAAAATGAAATATCAACCTACCTGACCTCACAACACACCATCCACTCTAAAGTCAATTCTCAACCTTCTACTACTCCAGATGCTTTCTATAGAATCAAAGGTTAGGACCTTTATAAAATCTGGTGACATGGCGTGCCCTCTCTATAGAATCAAGTGTTGGCACCCATGTTGAAAGAACAAACTGACTTTTTTGGACCCAGGTTTAAAATGCGGTGGTTTTTTCAGATAGGTTGATATTTGACTCTATAAGAAAATTGTCTATAAAATCTGAGGGTCATTTTGAGCTCAAGCTCCAAGATTCTATCGAGGATATTATATATATATACACTGTAAATAACTTGCCTTTGATTACTAGTAAAAACCGCCTCTTTACATCAAAACAGCGAAGAACTTGTTGCCCAAATCTGCTCGACCCTGGATTTCAAGCGCCGCCGGCGCCTCCTCCATCTGAAAGAAGCTTGGCACTGCTGCTGTCGCCGTCTCGGCTTCCAGGGACGTCCATGTGTATGCCGACTTTGTCTGCAGGAACGCAATGCCACCCTTGCAATCACGTCCGCCCGAGAGTGAACAGTCCTGGCAGAGCAGTCAAACCTGAGCTTCAAGTTTCTCAAACGCAAGACGACGATCTGCCCAGTGAGCCACGCAGGCGTCAACACTCCACACCATTCACCCGCCAACACCCGGCAGGCCTCGTGCTCCAACTCTTCTCCAAGAGCGGCGAAAATGTCCTCCTTGGCTCCCAACACCGTTGCTCCTACTGAAGGGTTCTCTCCCAACCAAGACGCATTGCGCTATTGGGTCGAAAGTTCTTCGATTAGAAGACATATTCATTGGCCATGAGCTTCAACTCAGAGATCTGAAGCAAACACGAACAGAAAGGCCTCATGGTCTATACTAAGCCCCAATCACGTATTGAAACGAACAACTGTAACGCGACAACTCTTCTTGGAGGCATACTCGGTCACCTATGTTTACTGTTCCGATGGAATTATAGCGTTCGCGAAACGACCTTCAACCCTATTGCACCAAGTGGCCATGGCCTCATCTTGCGCAAAGGCCGAAACCCAAACACATATCAAGCACCTGCAGCTTTGACAGGATACGCAAAAAAATCCATGCGCCCAAGGACTCGGCCTGCAGTCTACAGCATCCAAAACCTAAAGGCTGGGACCCAAAGAGCTGGGACCTGTGGGGTTTGGAGAGCCGCCGCTCTCCAAGGAAACGAAACTCTGGACTCTAAACGGTGCATGTATGAAAGGTTTGAAAAGAAAGAGGGAATCAAATTGGTCCATTCGAGGGTCACCATTTTACAGCCAACCCTTCTCCCTCAACCACCGCCCTCTGGCACCTGAAGCGCATACGCATTTTCCTATGGAGCTGCGGTTCTTCCGGGGAGCGCTGGGAGGGTTTTTCCTCGACTCCACCGCCGCTGCACACGCACTAGTCCGTTTCTTTGTGACCTTGGGCCTAAGTGCTTGGCCCGAATACTGCGGAGAAGACACCAAATCTTCAGAATCATCAGTGGTTTGACTTGAGGCCGAGGGTAGGTGACGAAAGCTAGCAGGGATGCATCCGTGTCAGTGGAGGCGAAGCATACAGCGCCGTCCAGTGACAAAGGACTGGTGGGACATCAAGCGGAGTGAGGCAAATCCTTTTTCGTAGGCATGGGGCTGTTGGAGGGATGGTTCACAAAGTCTCGCTCATGAGGTAAAACGAGCCACCATAAATGGCGAAGCTTCAAAAACTATGCCTCGTGAAAAGAAAAGACTAGTGAACAGCATGACTCTTGAGTTCTGGAAGTAACTAGGTCTTTTGAAGGGTGGATTGAATTGACTTCCGCGTGAAGGCAAGGGACCTTTCCAGCCCATCCTTCTCAAGAAGAATGATCACAAAACCGCTTGCCAGGCGTCTGCAGCATCAGTTATTTCGACTTAGCGGCATCCTAGGAGAGCCCAACTTTTGAGCTCTCCAGTAAGGCTTGAAAGTCTACATTGTCTACATCTACTGGGCCCGGGAAACTCACTTTCACTGGCTCGCTGGAAGAGAGCCGGTTTCCCAAGTGGCAGGGCAACCTCACGAATCGAAACCTGGCAAGGTCAGGTCAACAAAAGCCCATGTGCCCCCGAAAAAAGATGCATCAACCCCGTCTGTCTGCTTCTCATGTTCTGGCGACGTCCGCCTCCTAAGCGAAAAGAACCTTGAGCTTCCCGCACCATCGCGGCACGAGTCCTGCCCAAGACTGATAAACTATCGACATAACATCCACACACCGATCGCATGTAATTTGCTGCCCACCCTCCACGGGCGGCGTTTCGGTCCTCTGGTTGGAATGGAAGCCTTGCCGCGCTTCCGAACCGGCATACTCGGCCTGACGTACTCAAGATGCGATGTGTGACATGGTCCAACTGAGACCTCCGAATTCGCAAAAAGACTCGCAGACTTGAACACTCAGGTATGCACGATGAGACAAGTGCCCTGCAGCCCCAGTTGCCAGTTGCAAGGACGCGCTGTGCTTCAGCGACCGAAAATCGATGGCCTGTGTGATCTTTCCGGCCTGCACCTTCTCCTGGCACAAGCGACGAGTTTGATTGCGAGTGCTTGACGCTGCAAAAGGAAATTGACGGCGGTTGCCCCACTGTCACTTGTGCGAACCTTTCAGCACCGTTTGACATGAATTACATCATTTTGTAAACATCAACATCATTATACATCCATCTCAGCACAAGCGATGACACGTCTTTTGCTCAAACAATATCAAATGATACTGCGTCGACACATCTTTGTCACTTCGTGAAGAGGAAGCGGTCTTCTGCTTGGGATCGTGGCCACTCGTAATACCAAGGCCTGCAAAAGGAGAAGTATGCCAAGGACCGCACTGACTCGGGCAAACGGTTTGCCTGCGCTCTGTGAAGTAGGCGGCCATCCATGACCACAATGTCACCAGCTTCACAGTCCATCTGAATCTCTCCCTCTCCCAGATCCGAAGCCCATGTTTTTGCCTCAGATCTGATCAGCTCAACGGTCTCCTCTGGAGGATACTGGTCAGATACCTCCAAAGTGGGCAGCCAATGTGTGAAGTGTTGAGACCCCAAAATGAACTCTGTAGGGCCGATGGCTTCTTCCATTCCATAGAGCGGGCAAAAAACCGTCACAAAGTGACAAGGAAGGTCTTTGATGCCCACAAACAAGTGGGATGAGTCAACGTGCCAAGCCTCGGCCAACAGACAGAACGGTGAGTCGGTCCAGTTGACCCAGCGCCAGGGCGCTGAAAATTCCACGGAGTCAAAACATTTTGAACAAACGCCGTTCAACACATCTTCAACTCCAACTCCACGCCTGCGCTGGCGCACCGCACTTCGAGATCACCAAGCCCTGCGCATTAGCTCTGTAGCCTTTGCCTAAGACCGCCTCGAAGAACTCCACGCCCAAGGCTGCCTCTACATCCCTTCGCAAGGCCAAAGCGAATTCTCGGCCAGGACCAGCGGGTGGCGCATGATCCAAGTTCACGTCGTAACGGTTCCTCAGCTCTTCCATAACCCATCCTATGTTCTTTGAAAGCATCAGCAGCATTGGAATGATAAGAATGCCTCAATTCAATAGCTGCCCACATCGAGTCCTGAACCGTGCGCGCCAACAACAAGGAAACCACACTCAGAACACCAATCCCGACGTGTCTGATACAAGGAGTGATGTCCCGATATGGGGGAACCCACCCCAAGCACCAAAGCCATCAATTTGCACTTGGGTTTGGTGGACTTCCACGGGCTAGCAGCACCCGAACAACGCCGGAGAAGATGTGTGTGGTTTTGGCTCACCCGGGGCCGACGTTGCTGACAATGCGGCCAAAGCCCATGTCCAGGCATACACAGTTTTTGGCCTTACCTGCGCCTGTTATTGACTTGAATCTGTTGCTGTCTTCAAAGACTGAGTAGACTCTTCCACACAAATGCATGACATTTTCCCGGTTCAGGGACGCTGGCACGTGCTTACATCCAATCGGGGTGAAGATCAAGGCAAACAACTTGCAGCAACAACAACAACAACAACAAGGAGAAGAACAAGGTACAAACCAAAAACTGCAACCCGTCACAACATATCTTCTTCCTGCCAGGGGGTGGAAACAAAAACTGCAGGCTCCCGCTCCCCCGAAAACAACCAGCCAACAAGTATTCGTACCAGTAGTCAGTAGTGGTAGTGGTAGTAGTACTAGTGCTAGTGTCTGTGGTAGTACTAGAGCTAGTGGCAATAGTACTGATGGTAGAGGTGGTACTTCTAGTGCCAGTGGTGCCAGTGAAAAGCGGTAGTAGTCCTTGCGCTAGTGGTCCTAGTGCTAGTGGCAACTATAATAGATGGAAACAGTACTGTTGCTAGCGGTACTAATCCTAGTGGTCGTAGTCCTAGTACTAGTGCGAGTGCTAGTAGTACTAGTGGTACGGTAGTGGTGCTAGTGCCAGTCGCCGTCGCCGCCGCCGTCGCCATCGAAGTCGCCATCGCCATCGCCGTCGCCGCCGCCGTCGAGGTCGCCGTCGCCGTCGCCGTCGCCGTCGCCGCCGCCGCCGCGTCGGAGTAGTAGTAGTAGTAGTAGTAGTAGTAGTAGTAGTAGTAGTGCGGTCAGCTAAGCCTCTGTAAAACTTCGACTTAGAACCTCTACCACATCCTAGAGACAAAAACTGCAGCCCCGTTGTTGTTTTTTTGGAACCCCCCTCAAAAGATGTTGTTGTCTCTACCCCCCTAGAAACAAAATCTGCAGCCCCGTTGTTGTTTTGTGATCCAAACCTTTGACCCTATTCCGAACAGTGTCCCTTTGAAATCCCTGACTTGCAACATGTGACAACTATGTTGGGCAGCTGTTTTTGTCTCTACCAACAGCAACAACAACAACAACAACGGCCATTAAAATCCATTGAACACCTAGGCTCTGGTCCTTCTGCACAAACTCGCGAAAACCAGTCTCTTTGCCAAGTCCAAACCCTCTCTGCTTGGCTTTCTCCAGGTAGTACGAAAGCAGCCCGACGGCTTCTTGCTGTCGATGTTGAACTTTCGTTCCCTGGGACCATCCAGTTGCAAACGCAACAAGACCATGCTGCTTGAAAGCATTGACCTCAATGATCCCACAAACACTGAACAAACACCAGCAAAACAGCTGACAAAAAACGGCCACAAGCCCAAGAGTTGTTCATACCAAGGTAAGGGACTGACTCAAGGGCTCGATTCGCCGGTCGGTCAACAAAGAGTGATGTTCAAAAGAAACAAGAGGTGTCTCGCAAATGAAAGGGATATGAAACGGGGTCGGCTTCCCGAGAGTCGCTGTGAAGACACCCCATACCTACTCCAAATACGTATGCTCCTCTTGATGACTTCTTACCACACTTGTTACTTCAACCTGGGCATGGCTCAAACATGAAGGAACGAGAACAGAACGATGCCTACTGCCATGATCCTCAGTGTCACACACGACCCGAACTTCCTTGGCATTATACAGTAGAATTGCTGTCGTTTTTGTCTCGCACGGTTTCTAAAGGAGAGGACACAGAGCTCAAAGCATCTCTCGCGGCAAAAGTCAAATGCTTTCGCATGGCCAGAGTTGAGTGGATGTTACGAAGCAAATCAACCATAAGGGTACTGTAGACGATTGATTCAGCCTGTCTAGGCGCGGCCTATGTCCAAATGCAACGCACTGGGGAGTCAGGGGTTATTCGCTCAAGCCTCACAACAAAGGCAACAACGCAACCGTTTATCGCTTCAATGATCAAGTAAACATCCATCCCCAGGCTGTGTAGATGTGTAGAACATGTGTAGAACATATCTCACAAAAGCGGTAGACCAACATGTTGACTGGACTCTCACGCACTGTGAGCCCTGAACAGCGGCTGATGTGCGCCAATCTCTGCGCTGAGCCTTACTGAAATCTATGGGATCCTCCACACACGTCTGACAGACATAAATTCCGTTGAGTCACAACAAGCAGCAGCAACTGGGTCTTCGGGTCTTCATGGAAATCTCCATAGATCAACCTATGAACCCATCTATTCTTCCCCTTCACAATGAGTTAGAGTTTCCCTGGTGCGTCAGAAAAACATTAGATTCTGGTGCGTCACGTCGTCACCAGTCCACCAAACTCACATTCAAACGCACCTCAACAAGCATCTCTACTGTTGGTGTAAGCTTTCGCCAGGGCCACCTGCTCCCAGAGTTTTCCTCGATGGGCTGCCAAGCGTTTCCACTGTAATGCCTCAGCTCGAATCATTGGTTCATGGTGACTGTGGTAAGAGCATCTTCGGAGGCCATCGCTGGTAGGTTGTAGTAGGTTGGAGGCCATCGCTAGTAGGTTCTTCTTTATTTAGTTCATTTAAGTTCACCTTTCAACGAACCACGACTCCACACAGCTCCTCACCTCTGCCGCCAGGCTGTTCTTGGGATACCTCGCCTCCTGTCCAACAGGTTAGCACAGAAAAGCACTGCTGATCAAACGGCACCCCCTTCCACCAACATGTCGCTGGTCAGTCGAGCCCCGCCTGCTTTTCAGAAGCCTTCAAAGCCTCTTGAGTAAGACAAGGGCCCTGGCGATAGGCCAAGTTCCAGGTCATTCTACATGCTGGAGATTGGGCGCTTAGGTTGATGCAAAATCAGTTGAAACCAAAGGAAACCCGGAGTTTTGTCTCCACTGCTCAACGCGTATCTGCTTGAACCCTCAGCATTCCTACCGGCGCTAACAACTGGCCCCAGACGCCATTGCCAATTGTCCGGCTGCCAATAGAACGCTGCCAGCGCCTGATGTCGACCGGTGACCAAGCGTGTTCATGCCTAAATTTGTGCGGACCCTATCATTTGTTCATCTGAATCGGCATGCTGTAGAAATGTTTTGAATGTCTCCGAGCTTCTCTATGGGGCCATGGCTTCCCACATGTCCCCTGGAGCTAAACTCTGATCTCCATTGAAAACACACATGAGGCTGCTATGTTGCTATGTCCCCAGCCCTTCTGCACTGTAATGATGTATCTCCTGCAGCCCATGCACAAACCAATCAGGAACCGGCTTTTCTTCATGTCCATATGGTAACTTTCTTCGGCAATGGACCCCTGCAACACCGCGCGTAGATGTCACGAGTGGAGGTTAAGGCAGGATGACAAGCACCGAAATGTGGATGACAAGCACAAGAGCTGAAAAATTCAATGTCCACCTCGTCAATTTGGGGATTTTGTAGACTCCCTATTTTGAAGCCACGGCCAAACAAATGCCACGAACCCAAAGTCCCCCAGTTGACTTTGCACAAGTTCGTCTCCGGGCACCTGCTTCCTTCACAAGCACTGACAGTTGCTCTCGCAAGCGCGCTGCCTCAAAGGTCAACCCATCTTTCTTAACAAAGTCTGGCCAAACGAATGCGTGACTATGCACACAAAGTTGTATGTAGGCTAATATGATGGAGAATGAACGTGTGACCTTCGTCCTTTCCTTTTGGATGTGGCCAAAACAGGCCAAACTGGCCCAGGCATCACTTGCCAGAAGAACATGCCTGGTTTTTTCATGTTTTTTCTACAAATCAAACGTTCCAAGCGGCACCTCTTGCTCCGCATTGCTCCGGAGTCGCCGCTCCTGGTGCAAGCTGCGCCGCTTCTCCTCGCGAGCAGCGACGAAGTCAGCGTCGTGTACGGCTGGTCAACCTAACCCTACTTGCAGCAAAACCTGCTCTTCTCACACAAAACGTCATGAATCAACACAAAGGCGGCAATGAAAAAGCACCTGCCTGACTGCTGCCACCTCCATCCCGAAGTGTGGGCCAATCAATGACACTAACAAGTGTTCGCCCCATCACGCATCCCTTTTTAGGGGTGGGAGGGTGCGTGGGTGGGTAGACCCCACGAGCTGCCCAACAGCTGGGCATGCACCCACCTCTTGGGCAATGGCAACATCGCAAGTTCACCAACAAGTATTGAATAGTCCTAAACAGCGCTGCTTTCAACCAGGTGAGCCTTCTCAGTGATGGTCTTTCAAGTTTCACCTTGCTTAAGTATGTTATTTGTCCATTATCTACGTAGCCACATCACAGAATATTTGCGGTTACTCCTCATACTGCATCAGTTTTCTTGAGGGATGCTTGGGCACTATGATGCGAAGTAAGCTTTCACAGGACGACACCTCCCTAGACTTCAAGCGTTTCTCACTTTTGCTGGATGGTTATATAGGTGATCTCTTTTGTCTGGCCTGCTCCGAAATCATAATCGAGACTTGTTGTAGGAAGGTTCGGGTGCCCTGGCGGTATCCATGCCCACCCCAGTGTACACCCCCAAATGTACCCCATGTGCAGTCAGTCCTGCTGCATGGCTGCAAGAGCAAAGAAAACCCCAGGTTTCCTTCTGGTGAGCAAGTCTCGGCCCACATGAGGACAAAATAAATTGCATTGACAACATTCAGAGCAACCGATACATTTGCTTGTTGGATCGACTCTTTGTCTCTCTATTGTGTCCTATTCCTTAAGCCTCAATGCAGTTTGTCCTCTCAGGAAAGTGCCGAACACACCTCCAAAGAATCATAATCGAGATGGCGAATCACCCGGGAAATGTTTCACTCATATGCAACAGCCTGGAAAGCTGCTTCTTGGCCTCTGAACTGTTCAAGGCTTCGTCAATGACTCTGAACCACCGGGTGACAGCACCTTTTGATGACAGTGCCCTGCGTCAGCTTGAAATCAAGGTGAGTCATATCACTGCGAACGGCTGTGACCTCATGGCAGAGGACGATGGAGCCGACACAGAAAAGTGCCAACCAGCTGTTCTAGCATCCCACCCAAGACAAATGGATATTTTTTGCTCAAATGTTGGGCAAAGGGTTGCTGAGGCTGGAGGCTTTGATGGAAGGTCTTAGCAGAGCGCCAAGAATTTCGGCTCTGCGCCCAGATCGTTTCACGGTCTGATTGCAGAAATGCGATTCCATGACTAAAGGATGGCAGAACACTTTGGTACATGCCGTCAAGCCAACGCCATAAAGGTGAACTATGCAGGACAAAGAGCCACATCACAAAGCCTTGGAGAAAAAGCTTGAGTTGCGTTTGGCATATCTTTTTCTGATCAGACATCTGGCCCGAGACAAGAAGGCAAGCTCAGGGAGTTCAATGCTGAGGGCAATCTGGCCACTCAACAACGTCCCAATTCCAGGCATCTTTGGCCGCTCATTCTTCCTCTACGGGTGCTCTCTCGTATCGATGTCCTCGTAGCGAGGTGAAAATGCTGGAGCTCTCCTCCTCACAAAGTGGTGCCGATGGATGGCACGAGTGTGTGCGGAAAGGAGATGGGTCTGTCAAACACGAATGGGTGCACCCAAGAAGAGGAAACAATGACCACCCGAGTACCACGCTCGTTCAGCCCTGGGAGCTTCGTTCGAATGGTCACTAGCCTGCAAAGTTCACCCAGCATACTAGTAACAAGTGCATTGCTACTAGTAGCTTCTTGTTACTAGCAATCCTTCAGCGCAGGCTTGAAAAGCACGACCAATGAAAGCCATCAACCAAGCAAGCAGTGATTGCAAGGAAGCGCTCGGAACTCAAAGAATACCAAGAATGTTATGATATGATGAATTGAGCCAGCTGACAACCCCACTAGCAAATCATCAGGCAAATGGTCATGATCATGCACCTACAAGCAACATTCAACATTATGTAGCGCATCCCCAAAATTGTCAAGATGTCTTGACGCTCCGAGATCTTCACAGTTAATGTTACTTCGGTTCGTTTGAACACCCCTGAGAGGTCACAGCCGATCCCAGATTGGAAATTGGCTTCTTGGCGCCTCATAACCTCTTGAAAGCCGCTGGCCCATGGTGATCAGGACAAGGAAGCCTCGGAACTTCCAAATCGACGGATTTCCATAAGTTCGCCGACTTGCATACTTTGGAGATCTTTGGTGCAAATTACAGCTGCAGCCACAAGCTAGTTCTCTAGAGCTCCTGATCCATCTTCCATCCCTAGGAGTCAAAGCAACAAGTTGGCAAGCGGCTGTAGCTGCGCCATCTGCACATCCCTTCTTCTTCCTAGTCTTTGTGTTAAACTCCATGAAAAAGGCACTGAAATGACTTCCCTCGTCCGTCATCTACCAGACCGGACTTGGCCAGGCCAAGCGGCTCAAGGAGCCAAGACCAAAGGCGGTGAAGAGCTCCGCCACGCGGTGGCTCTCCACCTTGGTGAGCGATCCAGCGAAGGCTTCCACGGATCAAGTAGCGAAGACCGAAGGCACTTCACAAGTCTAGGACGTCCAAATGACTCGGACACGAGAATGCGTGTGGCCTAATCGAAAAAGGAAAGAGACCTGAATGCAATTCTTAGGAACAACTCATGCTCTTCCCTTGGACACTCGCATGAGACCATTAAGGCAAACACTGTAACAGTAATGTAATGTACTGAATGAATACCCTTCCCGGCTGATTGTTTCGTTCACAAGCTTAGGCCTCTACCTTCTTGGCACGACTCTTCAATTCATCAAACTTCTGCTGCAACTCATAGCCTCCAATCATCATCGAGACCAAGCAGGCTCTACATGAAAAATAACACAAAAGGACACCAACACGTGAAGTAGGTGGAATGTGTTCAGTTGTGGGTGCTGTTTTGCATCTTTTTTTGATGTGTACACGTTCATGCCGGCGAATCTGGCCAAGCCCTATAAACAAGCATCTTCTACCAAACACCTTCACTCCGTGAGCTAATTTGTTGGTTCCTGGTTGTGACAAAGATATATAATCCCATGTTTGCAAAGCAACAACAGGGCTTTGTGTTTCCGGATCGGGTATCAAAAAACATAAACATGTGGCAGCCCCAAACTTCAAATATTGGCTCCACACGCTCAAACAAGATCAGGAGTTGTCCAAGGACTAGCTTTCCCCTGTGAAGTGAAAAGGTGTTATGTCTTCCTTCCTGTGCGAGTGTCCTGATCAAACCTCACAAAGCCATGTTTCGCTCCAAGGATATGCTTTAGCTTGTGTGCCAGCATGTCATGTTTTGTCTATGTCTATGTATCAATACATTGCAAATTCATGCATATACAAATGATCTTTGTGAGAGCTGGAGGTGTGACAAAACGTTGTGTAGATAGGGGGATGTCTTCGAGTAAAACACGTCTGCCTTCAGCCCTTGGCAGCCAAAAGCATCAAAAAGGGTCTAACTTTCTCTATATAGTGCATAGTATGATACACATTCTTGGTATAGCATGGTATAGCTGCGAACCACGGAAACAATTAAACTCCTTGCCTGAGACTGCACTTGGCACTTGCCAAGCTTAACTGGCTGTGAAACATATCTGGAATTTAAAGCCCAAAGCGCCTGACATTTGCCCGCCGTGAGTGCTGAAAGAAGAGTGGGACATTGTCGAATGTGACATTCCTGCAGGAACGCACTGAGTGAATGCAAGACACTTCAAGTTTGTCAGCAGGTAGTGAGGCTTCGTACAAATGTATATTTGATATATGTGTGACTGTAAATGCACATGTGTATAAATATATATATATATAGTGTGTATCATCTGTATTACTATTTTGTACGGTGAGGAATACAGGGTGGAAAACAAAGAGGCCGTCATCTAGATACATTAGGTTCGTGGCTATCGCTATTTAGGTTGGAGGCCATCGCTATTTAGGTTGGAGGCCATCGCTCTTAGGTTCGAGGCCATCCCTCTTAGGTTGGAGGCTATTGCTATTAGGTTTGTTTCCATTCCAAATGTGTTTCACTTTCTATCCATGTCCCGTGCTTCCATGACTGGCGACAAAAGCTATCCCAAAGTCCAAGAGTCCTCCTCCTCCACTACCACTGCTGAAGTGAAAGGACGAGGAGTGGGACATTCCTGACAAAAGAACCCAACCCCATTCAAGGGCATAGGCAAATCCTCAAATTGCAATGTTGCAACTAGGAACTGCATGCGCAAACTGACCCGCTAGTTCCTCTAGCAATATCATAAATTAAAAGCTTGGCAGCAAGGTTGATTTCTTCAAGTGCACATTTAAAAAAAGGAATTGCACGCTCTTGGCCCGTATCCACGATTCATGTTTTCTTCTCTCGCAGCACAACAGCTTCCCTGCTCCCCTCCTCCGCCTCCCATGCCTGCCGAACGCTGAATGTGTGTAAATGTAGCGTCTACTGTCTTCTGTGAAATATCGAAAGAGACAGGACTTGCCAAAGAACCAAACCGAACAACACCCACTAGAAGAAACTATTGTCTATAAAAACATGATAAGGTCGCTTGACAAATATGAGACCCAAGCCACGACTGTCAAGAATTACAAGTTTGAACAACTGAGAATCTCTCCTGAACTTCCGCTGCTGAAGGAGTGAGAGGTATGGGACACCATTCCTGGCTGCGTGACTTGGCGCTGACCATGGAGAGAGCCTTGAAAAAGGCGCTGACCGAATTTGTGGCCAACTGAATGTAGCTAGTAGCGTCCTTGCTCCTAGTAGTAAGGCCAGGAGCCCCTAGTAGAGTCCTTGCTCCTAGTAGCGATGCCCTTTGCTACTAGTAGCGTCCTTGTACTCCGAATTAAACTGTGAGCAACTCACAACTCGCAGACCAATTTCGCATGACAAATCCTTTCATCCCCTCCTCCACTTCCGCCCATTCCTGACAGAAGCAAGTTGTGGTATATAACTGAGAGCCTACTCTGTGCAAGTATGGTGAGAAAAGCACATCGTCTTTAAACTTAAATCAAGAAGCCTCCACTGGTGTAGGAATGAGAGGTCTGGAACGACGATCCTGGCAGTGATTTGTCAATCTGAAAGAGTCAAATGGACAAAAACACTGACGCCAATGGGTGGACCAGCCAGACATAATATCACGATGTGAAGCTTGTGATCGCTGTGCAATTGGTAAAGTTTATGTTGCATTGTGCACACACACTCCGTCATATTGCAGCCTGAACCCTCATGTGCAAGATCCCTATGAAAAACTAAAAGCCATGACTGCCTCTTGTATTCATACTGTCTGATGACAAACAGCGCAATGTGCAAATTTTTTTGATCCCCTCCTCCACTTCCGCCCATTCCTGACGGAGCTAGCGGAAGCTGGTTCTGGGTGCAAGTAGTTTGGAGCGTATACCCTGTTCTGAGGCGAAATAGCGAAAACAAATAACATCATCAAACTGACACCTATGAACTCACGGGTTAAAAACCGGAAAGTCACTCCTGAGTTTCCACTGCTGTAGGAGTGAGAGCTATGGGACACCGACATTCCTGGCAACGGCATTTCCTCACTCAAGTGTCAACCCCCCTTCACACTCCCAAGTCCAAGAGCAAATCCAACATGCAACCCACGAACCCAATCCACACACGCACCAAAAGATACTCTTGTGGGACACTCTTGTGGGGCGCTCTTGTACATTGTTTGGCGACCACAAACCAGCGGCACGAAGCGCTTGTGCCAAAACGCATGGCACAACGACATCACGGACATAATTTCGCCACTCTGTGCCACAGACTATGTAGACTTCTTAGACGAGGCCATGTGACATGACACCACCAACCATCCCGCTCAGCAACGACATGCCGCGTTTACGTGCGCGCTTCCCCTTCCGCAATTGCACGGAGCCACGCGAAAGCACTTTCCACTGAGGCCAACCAAGCCGCATGGCACAGCGACATCACAGACGTAATTTCGCCGCACCGCATAGCACTTCTGAGCCTGGACCTCCCACACTCCCACACCATACCTGTACTAGCCTGGAGCTCCCCGAAGAAACTTCCAGCACTACATGTGTTTTTGGAGACTTTCCCCAAAGTTTCAAAAAAGGAGCGATTCGCACGAGGCTTCCTCCAAAAGTCACGTGCAACTCTCCGACACGAGCATTTCGTACGAGACCCCTCCAGAAGTCACATGTCAAGTCTTGAAAATGAGCGTTTCGCACGCGACTTCCTCCAAAAGCCATCCGTCAAGTCTCTAAAAAACAGGCGCTTCGACTCGAAAACGAGCGCTTTGTGTAAGACTTCCTCCAAGTTTCCTCCCAAACGCATCGAGTTTCAAAAAACGAGCGGTTCATACAAGGTTTGCCTCCGAAATGCCAAGCAGTTTCGCGCCCGAGACTTCAAAAGCCACAGCTGCCGACGCGCCAACCCCAATTCAATCGCACAGCGACATTCACCTCCATTAAACGAAAAAATTTACCTCGACGCCTCCAACACGCACAAAGTACTGTTTGGGCCTGCCACACAACGTTGCTACATCATATCTATGTGCCTTCGGCAAAATTTGCGCCGCGCCACGCGCTTCGAATGATATCCACACTTTCTGACCACACTCACATCCACCAAAACTGCAATTTTAGCTAAGACTTGTCGCGAAAACACAGCTTCAAAACAGCAGCCTGAACCAATCGTCCCGATGGCACAGCAACATCCAAAAGACCACCCTCGGAACACCAGTCCCAAAAACACAAAAACCAAATGCCCTGACCTGACAAAACGCTGTGCTGGCACAGCAAAATCATTCTCCGTGCTTCAACACATTACATTTCTACAGTTTTCAGACGAAACTGACTTTCCATCAAAAAGCTCCTCCAAAAGCTTCCCCCGGCGGCCTTACAGTACCGATCACAGTCAAAAAACTTGCGAACGGTTGCCAATGGTTGCAAACGGTTCCAAACGCGAAAGCAACATCACGCGAACGCAACTCTAAACCCCCAGGCCCCCAGAGGTATACGGGGCCCGTCGCTACGCATTCGAGAAGAAAACCGCACGCGGGTCATCTGCATCTATAAGCACTCGACCGACGTCTCACGCGGAAGCGTCTTTGACTTTTTGCAACCAATCTGCCCTATGTCAACATGAGTGCAACGTCAATGAAGTCAGATCGACCAGCCGCCACCAAAACTATTTGTAATTATTAGTAGAAGGACTGCAAATCCACCAATGGGGGCGCGCCACAGTTCAACAAATCAAACGCCCCCCCTCCTGAGCCTCCGCTCATTCCTGACGGAAATCAACAACAGGATCACTCAGCGCCCCTACAAAAATGAAAAAATGACCATACCACGCAACAGTTTTTCGATCACGCAATGAAGGCGATGAGCTTGAAGAAACAGCGTGCAAATTCGGAAACACGAGGCGGGAAGGAAAGAAAGAAAGAAAGAAAGGAGACAGAGAGAGAGAGAGGAAAAATAGAGGCAGGCCAGGCCAATGTCTCCTGAGCTTCCGCTGCTGTAGGAGTGAGATGTATGCGACGCCGACATTCCTGGCAACATCATTTCCGTACACAAATGCCAAGCACATGTCACGCGAAGGAAGTAACACACCCAAACTGACAGCGCACAGACACGCAACTCAACTACCACACAAGCAGCCCACTGCTACGTTATGTGAAATCGTCCTTGAGCTTTGTAAACTGCCCTGTTGTAAAAATCTGCTCTGTAGAGTCAGATCACTTTTCAACCTCGCTAAAACTATGAATAAAATAACTCCAATCAAATCCACCAAAACCAACTGGCCCCCTCCTGAGCCTCCGCTCATTCCTGCCAGAAAACAAGAAACTTGATCAATTGCAGAACGACCAAAACACAGCCCTGCAAATTTCACGGGCGGGGTTGCGCGGGGCATTGGTAGACGCAAAACAGAGGAGGCCTAGAAAATGACATGACTGATTGCTACAAAAGGTCAGCCACTTCAAGTTGCTCGCTATTGAGCGCAAGACCATTTGAAGAAGAAAACATCGCGTCCGGGCCCATACGAGCCTTTAACACAAAATGAAAACAATGTTGCGATTAGGGGGGTTTGGAACTTGAAATGATTTTGTAGTGAGGCGTCGTTAGCTGCAAGAAAGCTGCCAATTTTTGTTGGGGATGGGGAAATTCACATGGTAGCCAGTAGCATGGCCGTAGCTATCTCTAAGAACTTCGGAAAACAGTTTTGGGTTTCTATTTTGTAAGGCCAACATCCGGCCAATGTAGGATGAGTAGCATTTAGTAGTGCTCATACCTGTTCAGACAGATCGCTGGAATCTCCTTAGCCACTGCAAAAAGGGTTGCAAATCAGTCTTGGAGTCTCTTTTTGTCTCGATCTCTTGTAAGCCATCTGCTTCTCTACAAAATGCATGGGTAGTGGGTGATATGAGTTTGTAGTTTGCTACTATTTACACCCCCGTGTACTTGGCTTTATGGCTGCTCATTTGTAGGGAAAATGTACAGGAGGATGGTCTTGTCACAGTCGTGCTCACACACCAACGAAACCAATGAAACCCAAAGTGTTTCGAAAGAAAGAGAGAGAGAGAGACAGACACACAGAGAGAGAGAGAGAGAGCGCGAGCATGCGTGCAAGTCAGTGTCTCCTGAGCTTCCGCTGCTGTAGGAGTGAGTGCTATGGGACACCGACATTCCTGGCAACAGCATTTCCTCTAAATGTCAGCCCCCCTTCACAGAAAATGAACCAACACTCCCCCAATTCATAGGACACAAGCATGCGATGTCTCATGCGCAAACGTCTTTGACTTTTAGTACACAACATATCGCAACCTGACCTATGTCAACATGAATGCAATGTAACGAAGTCAAATAAATCAACCTCGCCAAAACAATGAGT